TAAAGTAAAGATTGATACTCCTACCCGCCGTAGGCTTGTATTTGAAGCTACTTCAACAGCAGAAAATCGCCGGAAACCCTACAGTGAAGTCGCCAACGAGATGGGAATTGAGGCTTCTGACAAAACCCTACGGACTGCATTTGCAAAAGAGGGCTATCATCGTAGGATCGCACGGAAAAAGCCTTTTTTGGACCAAGTCAAGAGAGACAAAAGACTAAGATTCGCACTCCAACACCGCCACTGGACGAGAGAGGATTGGAGGAAGGTAATATGGACAGATGAATGCTATATCTGGTTGGGAGGGTCACGCAGAAAGATATATGTTACTCGTGCAGTTGAGGAAGAATGGCATGATGATTGTATTGCCCCTAAATTTGCGAAAAAGGATTCAATCATGATATGGGGGGGTATTCTGGGCTCAGGTGGAAGGAAAACAATTAGGATATGGGAAAGAGAGGACTGGGGGACAATTACAGCACATACATATTGCAATCATATCCTCGTACCCCTCATACACCCCTTCTGGTTCTGGGAAAGTCATGCAAATGGGCAATGGTTATGGTTGATGGAAGACCGAGCCCCAGCTCATACTGCAGCACTTACTCGGGTGAGTTCTCAATTCATATTCTGTCAAGTATTTCTTTTTCCGCATTTTTTTTCTTTTTCTTTGACTGATATGACCCGCATAACAGCAACACCATGAATACTTCCAGATACCTACCATTGACTGGCCTCCCTCCTCACCTGATCTAAACCCAATTGAGAACATTTGGAGTCTCTTGAAGGACCGCCTGAATACCAGGAGACCGAGGCCTAGAGGAAGAGAAGAGATTAGGACAGCAATATTGGAAGAATGGGATCTTATTACTGCAGAGGAGATCACTAAATATGTAGATAATATGCCAGAGCGTATACAGGCAGTCATTGATGCAAATGGAGGGCACACCCGCTGGTAGTCATAGAAGAATAGAAATTTATACACTCGTTCACTCACTTGTTCACATTCACTCACCCGTTCGCCACCCAAATTTTGATATTCGCTAGGCGTTTTTTAGCGCACTCGCCTACCCCTGTTTTCGCAATAATTCTACCGGAAACTGTAGGCTACCTATCGGTACCGCCCAAGCTTCCGTCGGGGCGGGGCCGGGGTCGATCTAGCTTCCTACCAGTGGCAACGAGAGGGGAAAGTGCATTAAGCTGGTCAGCTTATCTACAGTTCAAGAGTAGGTACAGTCGTTCACAGGCATTTGGAGCAACCAGTCAGCAACCAGTCAAACTGCGAATTTATCTGCATGCAGTTATCAATTTGCACTTTTATGCATGTTGGGCTGGAGAAACGGGAATCATCCTTGCAGACTGTTGTGCAGCAACAGCGACTCTGGCCAGGCTGTTTTAATGGTTGGGGCTGTCGAGACTCGAGAATATTCGCCTTGGGATGGATGAAGAGTTACAGCTAGATTCGAGAATATTCGCCTTGAGGATGGAGTTGCATCTAGATTCTCGAAGGTTGGGATGGGATGGGATGAAGAATTCTATATTCTCGAAGGCTGGATGGGCTGGGAGGCTGGGCTGGGAGGCTGGGCTGGGATGGGCTTGGCTGCGGGAATACTAACGTTAACATGACTGTGGGTTTTCATCTACTCTACTAATCTATCAGATAGCTACCCGCAATGTTCCCGGGAAATCATTGGCCAGGCTAGCTACCGAATCCCAAGAACACTGAAGGGTTATGAAAATGTCTCCGACACTAGCAAGATCACTACTACGGACACAGCCATGGTCATGGTGGGAGAGAATGGAAAGAACGCCCGTATATACCGCAAAATCTCAGGAATAGCAAATGGAACTGGACTGGGAATATTGGGCCAATGGGTAAGCGGTATTCCAGCCCAGTCCGACTAATACCGGCATGGAGCGTCTGGCTGGTTGGGTGTATCTAAGCACCTATTGGGTCGATATGCTGTGCATACTCAATCAGGCGATTGAGAACACGAGACCACAAAGTGCACTTTCACCTACACTCTGATTGGCTATGCACCAGTCATGACTAATACCGGTGAGACTTTTAATTTTCGTCAACAAAGTGCACTTGCACTACCCACTACGGTCTTCATGGCATGAAGAAGGAAAAAAAAAACTATAAGAGATACCTTCTCCTATATAAGTAATCAATGGAAACCGCAGTTTCTGGTACTTTTTCTGCATGGCCGTGAGCACTTGGGTAGCCTGAGTGAAGTATAAAGCCGTGGAGGTGTCGCCTTGCAATGGTGGGACTCTCTTTACAGGATATCAGAACCTTGATAGTTGTGAGAAATCGGAAGTAACGGTTACCTGAACTGTGTGTAAGTGTAATGGCAAGAGGCATTGTCAGGTATCGATCGATAAAGCATCGATTATATGGATATGTCGATACAGTCTGGATAGGTCTAAGAGTATTCAGTTCTCTACACTATCTTCAGTGTCAAAAAGAAAAAAAGGTGAGAAAAGAAAAACGGCAAACCAGATCATGGCCTTGTAAAAGATACTTGCACATCCACAACAAGAGGATAGCAGGCAAAGTACCAAACACCACCAGTCGGTTCAATTTAAATAATACCCAATCTGGTTCAAGATCGGTGGACACCTTCACCGGGGTATGGTCAACATGGAGGTGTGATCAATTCCAAGTTTTTTTTCTAAAAAGGCAGTCGATCTGCCCTCTGCGTATCATTTATCACTCCGGCGTATATCTGAGATTGACCATACCCCCGACCATATTATCCCAGTGAAAGGGTCTAGTACGGTAGTACCTAAAGTTCAACTTCCCATCTCGGCCAAGCACGGTTTTCAACCAACCCTGATAAGAACTGCGAGTCGGCGCTGACCAATCAGAATATATTACAATTATGATAGGTACATATCAGTTGCACTGCCCGCTTGGCTGTCATTTTTTTTTACAGGATTCGAAAGATTTGTGACTACGAGACAGGTGCTTTCATGATCACTTTAAAAGCACACCTTATGAATTAACCAAGGCAAACCAGGGCTCATGGCCGGGACATACATGACACACGAAATAGTAGAGTATGCAGATTCCGTAACAGGTATTAATAGTCGATCACACGTTTATTTCATACATGCAGAACTGCAACCATACTGGCTAGGGCTGTCAGTATGTAGGTGAAAATCAGCCTGACCGTGAGCATCTGTAGATTATTGAAAAATCTTTTAGAAGACTAACGAGCCTTGGGCTTGTGGATCGACAAAGCAAATAGAGCCTTTGCGTAAATAGAACCAGCTCTATTTTCCGGTAACCTGATTGGTGCCGATCATCTCATCAGCTAATTAGATAATCTGAATTTATAAGAGCTGTAGGTAGTCTGTGCAAAGGCTCTAATATCAAGAATCTGGCTGGGCCTATGCCCATAGGTTTTTGAAACGTATGACGGCATCTCATATTTAACCTTTTCATTAGTCGATGGGAAGGCTCAGATCTCTTGATTCATGTACTACTAGGATTAAATCAGTGTTCGCAATCCCCTAAGCACCAAGTAAAATAAGGACTGTTCGCTCACCTGGTGACGGTGGATTCTGTCGTCTGACCGCCATCAGATATCACCCAGTGAGTGAGTATAGAATGAAATGCCGGATGATATGTCATGATCTCGCACGCTGCATGCATATCATCAATTGCAATCGCGCACCGCCATAGTCCCGAGAAAGCAGGAGATATTTATTATACGTTAGGCTAGCTCTCGCAGCGGAGGACCTCCGCAGTTAACAGCGTCGGGTAAGTACTACTCTCGATCCTCGTCGACATGTTAGATATAGCCGAATACGGTTATTGATTAATTGCTTTTATGTAAGGTTGGAAGAATCTCTGAGAAGATGGTTCTACTTTGTGCCATTGTGCCTTGCGAGTCGCGATCATGGATTAAGCCGGATGCAACAGAGAGATGTGAGGGGTCATGGTTATCGACTGTAAGGTATGAGGAAGATCAAGGCTTAGTGATAAAATACACAAAGATTTGGGGGGAGTGCACTGCGCTTCGAAATCATTATATATTACTCTGGGGGCCGTGTTGAGGAATAGGTAATACAAGCCTAGAAGGCTCCCCTGTCTCTGTAGTACCAGTGTAACGTAGAAATTAGCGATACTCTACATATCGTGCATGTCACCAACATAAGCGTTAATTCGCCTACAGTATTGTATGTTAGTAGGTGTATACTAGATGATCGTAGACGTTAGATTAATTAATTTCATGAGCCCGAGTCATTCTCGTATGTACTCCATTCCTCAACCTCCTTCCAGCCCTACACATATATATATATGCCTAAATATCTGCCTACAAATCGCGATCACTGCCTCTTCCAGCCTCCGGCACTCACTACTCCACCCTCGTGCTCATGATCAGACGAAGAGAGGGAGAGTCCTAAGGAACAGATATATAATATAGGTACACAGCCTCTCTGCACATGCATAACCTAATCTTCACGATACTCTGGCTGAAATAGGCCTTTTAAGCGAGGCTTAACTACATTAGTACATAGTCCCCTGTTGAAATGATTGGTGGTACACATGCACAATCTGGCCGGGCGCAGGTCTCATGAGCTCACGGTCCGCAAAAACTTGGATTGGGGAAGGCCAGGGGCCATTGGATATTGATCAAGTCGATTGAGAAGGAAAGGTGTATATAAAGTTGGGCTGATGTGTCCTAAAGACTCACACGTAGTAGAAGTTCGCACAACGGAATATACAATCGATCACAATTTACACGCGCAGAGAGCTAGATTTTTGAGTCAATTCAATCCAGGGGATCCGGATCATTAGCTGGCTGCGGATATTATCCTACTACCACTATATAAGCTACTTCATCTCGATGTCAACAAAAGAATATCATCATACCATACCAATCACTACCTAGTTCCGCTCATCTCAAACCTATATCACAATTCTACAATCGATCCCACGATAAGCTAAGCCCAAAAGCACCAATCAAACTACAACAACAACCATTGCTATGTGCAATTTCACAATCCATACCCTTCTCCTACTCCTCCTTACCCAGCTCGACCCCACGGATGCTGCTCCTGTCTCTCTGCGCAAGCGTAAAGGCGGAGGCGGCGGTGGAGGCGGTGGAGCTGCTGGAGGCGGTGGAGGCCGAAGCAGCGGCGGTAGCGGCGGTGGAGGCGGCTATGGAAGCAGCGAAGGAATGACCTGGAAGATCATCGTCATCGTTGTTAGCATTGTCGTCCTCCTACTCTTCCTATGGTGGTTCCTACCCAGATATGTGTTCCCGAGATATGGGTGGTGGCAGGAACGGATGGCGAGGAAGGCGGTAGAGAAGGAAAAGAAAAAGAGCATAACCGAATCCGGTGCGTCACAGATATAGTCGCGGTGAAAGGAGTTTTGATTCAGTTTTTTTTTTTTTTGATGGGGTTTAAGTTTTTTATTCGTTTTCTTTTCGATGACTTTATGGGGTTTGTTACGAAATTTGATATCGCAATATCTCATGGGGAGTTTTCAATATGTATACGTTACTGGACTTAATCGACTGTTTTGGGAGAGGCTTTTTTGTGTTTTTGTTCTCTCCTCTACGCCTTCTAGATCTATAGACTTTCTATTATGTTTCCTACTATTAATTAATTTTGGGAAAAAAACAAAATTGTACCATATGCATACGATATCTAGATCTACATGAAAACGTTATTATTACTTTCGCGTCATAGCATACAAAGATCGCCACAGCCAGACTTAGGACTATCAGGCCATGACAGATACCAAGCATTAACAGCCCACGCCTCTCCGTCTCAGATCTTTTTTAATCTTTTTTACGCAGTTTTGAAAACGAGTTTGATATTATGATCATGACGTAGAGAAACAAACCGGGATTAAAGCAAGGCTTGCGCGCAATTGGCTGTTCTGAGCAAGAAAGTCTCATCAAATCTGGCATGATCAGCAAATATGTCTCTTGGCGTGTAGTAACAATTAGAACAGGTTACAAGGCTGGATCATGAAGAATCACTCTGCGTTGAAGATGTCATGCCCATATCAGTCGAGCAAATGCTGTAGGTATCTAAAGATAAAAAGGTTGCTTATTTACTAACCCTAACCCCTTCTCGAGGTTAGGGGTCTATATATATATCAGTCAGAGCAAATGTAGGCCTAGCAAGGCCAAGACAAAAGGTTACCTACGTAGTAACCCTAACCCTTCTCTTCCAATTCCCCTAAAGCTTTTAACCAGGCAAGATATCTGATAGAAAGGTAGATATAGTCATGAAGCAAGTGGAGCAATTTTATCCCTTAGGCGGTCAGTCCAAATCCCAATGTGTTACCGGACCTGATATGGTGCTCCGATGAACTCTGTTACTGTTCTATCATTGTGGCGATAGAGCTCTCTGGCGTATGGTAATAAACTCATGCTCAATGAGAGAGTGAACACTGACAGCGTTCATCAGAGCATATTAACCATATCAGGTTCGGTAATACATTGGGATTCGGACTGTACTGACCGCCTAAGCTAGGGATACCCATTTATACCCCCCAAAAGGTGCCACTTCACTGATCTGTGGCGGCTCCTCAGTGAGGTGGCTGGAGATTAGCCTTCTCATTGGTCTAAAGTTACTTTCTAGCCAGGATTATTCCATTTGTAAAAGCTGAATGTCACCTTTAAAACTAGGCACTGTACATATTGGAAATAATAGGTTTTTCTTCTTTAAAACTAGGACCCCTACCTCGAAGTTCCTTTTACCCCTGTTTCATAATCTTTTATTACGGCGGACTGATGTGTTCGTACCCGGGTTCTGGATACTTGTACAATAATTCTCGGGTCGGTTCAATGGCGAATGGGAGTCTTTGACCAATTATCTGCATAGAGTGGCTTTTGGTTAGCCCATTCGCCAAGACAGGTTTGTCATTGACTCGGAAATGACTGAAGTGCAACATTCGACTAATCGTTAACACACTATTAATAGCTAATACTCATGCTCAGCCACATGTAAACCATGTTAATCAATAGCCATTTACCTTAACCTTCCACTGATATTGTCCGTAATATTCAGAATCATAATTTGATAACTCAACAATCAAGTAAAACAAAATCAATCAGCCTCTGCCAAGTTGTAGACAAGCAGAATAGAGAGACATGCTCTCGAGCCCAAGTAATTCTCGGCGCTATGGAGCGCGACGATTCGAAAAATACTCTGGGTAGTACAGGTGTCCTAAAACTATACGGTATCTAGTACACAGAGGCGGTACCCGCGAGCAAGACGGCTCAAGCCACGTTACGTTCTACTGATTCACACCAGATACTGTGCCTTGATATATGACTGGGTAGCAGAAAACCTCTTCTTTTATGTCATCTTTAAACCCTCAGTCAGGCCTGATTCAAATGACGGCTGCTAGCCGTATACAGTAGGCTATGATATCATGAACTCTATGACTGGAGTTGTTTGGCACAGCCACCCGTGACGATTTTACCGTGAGAGTATGAGCCCTTTTGCTGGGAGTTCAATACGTATACATCATACCTGCTCTAAGCGGCTAGTTGTCGTCATTTGGAACGAGCTGTGTTCAGCTGAACGCGGGCAACGCACATCCTATCATTGAGTTCATTACAACACGCTAGGGACTTGATGAGGGAATGGCACTACGGCGTTCAACAGAGTATAGTTGCCAAATACGGTTACATACCTTTCGATTTCCGATTTGACCTGACGACCGAAGGGATGCAATCCTACGAAACCTATCATGATCAGAACATCAACTTTCCCGAGATCAGAGCTCACCAAATGACTGCAGCCGAGAGACCTATTAAGTGTAGGAGAACCAAAACAACTCTTGTGTGAAGGCATATCCGTGTTACGTAGAACCTTCTCGTCAGCTTAGTAGTGACATAACATGCCAAGACACACCAAGTACCGATCCCGAGTGATATTACATGATTAAGAATCTTTTTGTTTTGTTTTCTTTTGTTTAATTCATTAATTGATTAAGAATTGTTCGTCATTACGTTACACTCAACTGCGAAAGTTTTGATGACTTTCACGGAGCTGTTTTAACCCCTCCTCGTAGAGTTTTTCGAAATACTGGTAGCAGCCAAAAATATTTTTCTCCGTCTTGACAGTGTCCTAGTTGCAGTTTCCCCCATCTCTTTTAGCAGCACCGAGTCCCCTCGTTTTTCCAGTTCAATCTTCTTTGAATTAGAAACCATCGCTCTTAACTAGCGGTTTCCCAATTTCCTTTTGGAGCGATCGGTGGTGGGTTAGGGTTGTTTTGTATTTTTTTTTGTTTAATTCATTAATTGTATGCAGCCCAGCGTTGTTTTGTAGGTACATGAGTAGGTTTTTTAAACTTGTTGTAGTTAGGGCTTAGTTAGTATTTATGCAGTCGTAATTAAACCTTGAGGATAAAAACACTTCATTTTGCAGCTCCGGGATAATTGTACGTGACAAAATAACATCGTCTTTTTCAGTAAACTGTAAAAGCCGGGGCGAGACCCCCCCAACTAGCCAGCTGGTCAGATATATATATCCTCCTTGCTGGTGGTTGATCTAGTCGAGAGTCGACGTGGAGTTTATGTTCGATCTGACCACATGAACCGCGGGGTAGAAAAATTCATTCATTATATGTTTTAGTCTTCAGTCTCATACCACGGTGCTGGTAATAGAAATGTATTAGTACGGGAAAATCACCACGAGCATGTTCGACCTTGTATGTAGAGCGATGGTATGGGAGTGGTTGAGTAAAGATGCACCATGTCCTGCCGTTCCGGAATGATACGTCTTTAACCACAACCCTAACCTAGCCTGTCTGATCATCAAGTCATATATATATACTCCCGCTCTCTGCGATAAAGTAATTTCCCATCATCAGGCTACTGAGCTTAGTGCTTCATAAGTTCACCTAGTTTAAAAACATGTATTATCTCTGTAACCAGGGTCTATGGGGTTCAGGTTCCTATGCAGAGTTAACCGTACATACCGAGTGGCCATGGCGATGTACTTGAAGACTCCTGGCCTTATTAAAATAGCTAACATGTTAAGAGATATATTATGACTAATAAACTTTAAACTCCGATATTTGGCCTGAGAGGAAACTGCTACGAAGTTTATTTGGCTTTTGTAAAATGACAGCGAGACTGGACACGTTTGCATAGCTTCATAATTTACGTCGTTCTGTTCGCTCTGTTACTATAATGCTACCATACAGGACCTCTAAGTCCAAGAAATAATAGAACACGGTTCTAGCATCGCCTATTCTCATCCCATTGATTTCGTCCTTTTCACATCTGGTTATTTACCGAGTGATATCTCATGATCCGAATTTCACCACAAAAAAAAAAGGAAACCCGAAATTCGGCCTTTTATAGAGTCGGGCATCAACTAGTATCTCACAAATATCAATATTCCATGTTCCGGACGAGTTTTGAGTATTACTCGCACCCCCATTAACCACCGATCGGCACCCCCGAATCACGATTCCGAACACAAGTCGAAACACATCAACGCCAAACCGAATCGCCGAGCGATATCAGCCCCCACAGGCCTGCTTATGTCTTTGTTTGGTTTTGTTTGGCAGCAATGTGTAATATTCACTCAGCACGCACCTGAGTGCATATCGAACTCACTTACCTACACCAACCTCGATTGTCGAATCTGACAACGCAGGAAAAGTGCAGATGTATGGGGTGGATCGGATGGACCAAATCTCCGACTCTGTTTGAATTCGGCTTCGGATCGGGTGCCGGATGTCGACGACGATGACGATGTATGTACGAGTGATGAGTACGCAGTGGGAAGAGTGGGTAGAGTACGTAGTCTACCTGATTGAAAACGGATGTACATATATATGTGTAACTGCTTATAATTAAGTAACTGCCAGATGCGAACGGTACACGAAGGACCGTATTACAAGAACATCATTTCCAGGCTGTGCTGACATATGCACCCGTTCGAGTAGAGCAAGTACAAGTAGATTACATGTATTTTGTAGTTGAGTAAACCTCCCTCCCCACATCCCTGCTGATCCTCGCTTCCATTTTGATTCGAAACCGAGGATCCTGGTATGGATTTACCGGAAGAAGCAACCAAGCAACCAAAGGCAACCAAAGGCAACCAACTTGAAGCAAGGCTCCGTCGCAGCCCGTAGCACCCGATGTCCCGAACCGTCATTATCTCCAGATGGTAGACTTGAGAGAATCTTCCATCAAAGGTCTGTCGCACAGGCAGAAAAACCTTAGTTAAACGCCGAGCCAGGGATAGGTTGCATCTGCATCATCTACATCATACATGTATATTCGCAAAGTTTCCCACTCCCTGCGCTGCGCAGTACTTCTTACTAAGATATTTCTTCTTATCTGCGCCTACGGCCGAAAGGGTCAAACAATCCCACCGATGGCCGGATCCCCGATGACTCCGCCGGCGTTGCGTGTTGCGGTTGGATCCTACTCTACGTGGTGTGCCAGAATTTGGTCTGTCCACGATGACTCATCGCTATAATAAGGGTCACGTGAAGTGGTGGTACAGTGGTGGGATATCAAATTAACGATTCATACTTTCCACGATCAACCACGTCGCCAGTGAGTGTCCTCGTAATCATATCAGCTTTGGAAATAATTCTCTATTGAGGCTATGCTGAGAGTCACATACGTGCTTCATCTACTGAGTCCCCTTAGGGAGTCAGAATCATGAATGAGTTGGAGTGGATATTAATGGCCCACTAAAGTAAATCTCGCGATAGCTACAAAACTAGCCGTTTGCAAATTGGGTTGTGGGGCTTGTGAGAATGAATTGGAAATATCTATGACTCTTTTTGCAAATGCAATGTTGGGGAGCGGGGGGGGAGAGATATGGATTGATAATCTGTTGGGACAAGTGGTTCCTGAAAACAGCTGCGCAAATTCGGAAAAAATCTTGGTGTCCTATCTTTCCTTTGTCCAGGCCTTCGAAGTGGATGGATGCATCGCGATATGCTATTTGTGGAACACAAGTACTCTAGATTACTACTCGTAATTTCCTAGCGTTTCCGAACACGACCAATATTGCATGACATACAAAAAGGTGGATTTGGCGCTTTTTTGTATGGTATGCAATAGCAGTCGTGTTCAGAAACATCAAGAATTTACGAGTAGCTAGTTGCAACCAACTAGAGCAGCTAGCTAACTAGCCCCGGCATAAACAATCAAACTAATCCCAAACAAAACCAAGGGTGTGCCTTAAAGAAGGCGATATCATGATCAGGCGAACTACCTAAACCACGGACAGGGCTGTCTGCCAAGCAACCGGCAGACACCACAGCTACAAGTTAGTAGAGTAGGGTCTCGTTGGTTGGCAGTGCCAAGGAAAAACACATTGTTCGACAGCTTGGCCCTCCCATCCCTGCAGGTTACATACATAGATCATTACCTCATTCGGTTGTCTCCAGCCAATCAATGGCCCATCAAAAAGATCCAAAATCTTGAAACCCAGATACCCAGATGGATGCCCATATCGAGTAGGAGAAAAACTTGGTTTTTTGCTGCTGCGCCGTTTTATGAGCTGGCTACAGCCTACTTTACTGCTAGTAACGTCCACGCAAGCAATCGGGGATCAGGTATCGATAAAGGGCAATGATGGACAGGAACATCGCACAAGCAAATCGCACATAACATTTGAAAGGCAATATCAAGGACCATATAATACATGTATGTTAGAAAGCCCCATCTAGACGACCGCCGTTACAAGGCAGATTCTTGATGCCATTTCTTCTTTCTCTGTCGGCTCCGCTGCACTTGATTCGTCGGGCGGGAGATCGAGGGGGGAAAAGAAACAGGCCGCCTAGAAACAGCTAGTAGCGCCTGGTAATGATTCACGAGCATGAAAAAAATTTACGTTGGTGCTGTTGCTGATTAATCCTTGTCAACTAGATCCGGCTGCAGCTAGCTGGTTGTTGGCTTTTTGGACCGAGGTATGTAGGTTAATTAATTGGAATCAATTGCAATACTCAACCCAATTCGCCGCTACCCGTGCGGAGCTCCTACGTAGAGTACAGCTATCATGAATAGAGTACCTTACCGGACTGCCTGAGCCTGAGCTTCAACTGCCTGAAGTGGAACGGGATTGAGCGGGAATTGAAATTGAATGGACCGCCTGAAGTGATGTGCTGTGCTTAATTGATGATATCTAAGCTATGTTATGCTATGTGGATGCACTGAGCCATACCATGGACCTGCCACTCATTCTCGGATCCTGCCCGCGCTGCGCTGCGTGCATTGCAATCGCCGTCCATTCTCGAGAGATTCCTCTTGCGGAAGTAGAACCCGAACACATATCTGTACTCTACGTCTACTGCAAATCAATTGACCATGAAGAAAACAAATAATAAAAAAACGCGCGTCTTATGTATGTCGTGTAGATATCGCGTAGGTAGGGTAGCTTGCAAGAAATTTTTTAATTTTGCATGTGAAAGCGATGCGATGCTCATCGCCAACAAGCAATCAGGCAAGCAGGTAGGCTAGCGGGCATAGCACAGCCACAACCTTAACTGTGCAGCCGTTGGAGAGCGGAGGTGCCGGGTTGGGATTGGGGTCACGTACCTGTGGCGAAGGGAGCAGCAGCGCATTCTCGGGCATACACTATATTGTACTGAGTGAGTGACGTACAACACAACACATCTGTACTCTATCATCAGCTACGCATCACCCACCGCCCATATCTGGCAGTCGCAGCCCCAACCAACCTCCAGCAGCCCAATCACACACCACGTCAGGGTTCGAGTTCAGCTGGACCAGGGACCAACACGACACTCCACAGAGCCTCCGCTTACATGCCTCACATACCTTACCCCGCTGCCCTACCTGCTGGCCCTAAACGACCCTACCCAGCGCCCTGGATCGAGCACGGAGCGGATCTTGGTAGCTGTGCTAGCTGCTGCCGTGGCAAGATAGAGTTGGAGTGCAAGGTGAGTGTGGCGGAGCATCTGGTGTTTCGTGCTCTTTCCACTAGGATCGCGTAGTGCCGAGATGTGAGCTGTCGCTTCTTTGTGGGGCTGGTGCACGCCGGTAGCGGTTAGGTCAGGTTGTTGTGTTGCGGTTATGTTGGGGGGTGCGGTGGGGGGTGCGGTTGTGTTGGGGCGGGCAGGGTCAGTCATAGCCGCACAACGTAACGTGCTACATGTTAATTAATGGTGGTGAATGTTACGGCGACACAACGACGACGTCATGGGGGTGGAATTTTTTTGAGGTGTTACGCGTGAGGTGTGATGTTGTACCGCGGTGTAGGTTATTGGGGTGACGGAAGGTCAGGGTCCGTCACGCGCGGTCAGGGAAGGCCGGTCAGGGCTGTCCGGCTGAGGCGGGGCGGGGTGGGGTGGGCGGTGTCAACGCACTCGATAGATGGCCCCAAGGGATAGACGTAGAGTAAAACGGGTTTGCATGAGTAGAGTGATCGATTGCGGAGAATGCACCTCACTGCACTGCATGTGGGTAGGAGATGTCCGGTAGGAGGTGTCTGGTATGTATGTATATGCACATTTCAGCTGGCCATGGATACAGATAGACAGATGGCCAGAGACAGATAGCGGGGTAGGGGGGCGGTGGGAAGGGCTAAGGAGGTAGGTAGCGGGTAGGGCTTGTATGTCAAGAATGTAGCTAGTAGTATGTGTAACGCGTTACAGAGGAGGGATGGGATGGGATGGGATGGGATGGATGGGCTTGCTTCATTCATTCATTCACTTCATTCATGTTCTACATTTCATGCGGGCCAGTCAATGCTCTACTCTCTAGTTACTCTAGATAGTGAGATAGTTTGTGGTATGTAGGATATTTGGCACGCCAGGTCCACGCCCCGCTGATAGAGTATGATCTACGCTTAGCTACTCGACCAAACCATGGGCGGGGGGAGGTGTTGGGCGCTGTTTCAGTCGTCACGATCCATCCACGATTCCTAGTATGTAGAGTACAGCAGAAGAGGAGTAGGTAAGATTAAGAGGAGGGGGCGTTAAGCATTGCATTTGCACTTACATTTGCAATTATCTACACTACGCTACTAGCTAGCTACTCTAAACGAGGATCGGGATGAGGATTGTGGGGCATGGGGCGATACTACAACATTGTATGTGATTCACGGTTTCGGAAATAGCGATTGGGTACAAATGTTTCAGCCCTCGCTCGCAGCATAGATAGCGTAGACATGGGCTCACTTTTTTCTTTTCGTTTTTCCGGATCCACAGTTTATGGCGGACGGTGGACAGTGGGTTTCAGTTTCAGATAACTCAATCTGTTCTGTTATGTGGTGGAGCAGTAATTGCTACCTAGCTACAGCTACATACATGAAGAGGGCGTATTTTTTTTTTGGGGGGGGGGGGGGTTCACTGGTGGGAAGGGTTAGCTAAACGGATAGACAGAGGGCTAGAGGGCTAGAGAGGGACATCGCATCGGTGCATCAACTCCAAGACCACCGACGTGACGGGTTGGGACTGGATCTGATCTCGAAATAGTAGTATGTAGAGTAGGTGGCCCAAACAAAGACCTACCTGTACGTATGTCTAAACCCTCGATATCGATCGTCAATGCACAGTCCTCAGTTCACTGAGCCAAACCAAACCCATGGTCTCTACTTGAATCCATTCTCTCCTATCAGACTGCCCCAAAACACACACGGTAAATAGTAGCAGCACACGGTGCACTGGTCTAGAGTCTAGACAAAGCACAGATCCCACTACCTGATCGATCGGCCGGTCCGGATAGGTTACTTGCTTACTTGCTTTAGCTTTGATCCCGCACGTACCATGCCATGCGGCCGTGCATGATATCTCTCCTACTCTATCTATCCATCTATCCACCACCACCAGTCTACATCTACATCCACCTGCAGGCCTCGGAATCTTCCCCTCTTTCACCGGGCACATCTGCGACTTCCCCCGACCCTACCATCGTGCCAACAATCAAACCAGTGGTGTCGTCGTATATCGTGCCATCGTGTTAGCAGTCGTGGTTGTGGTCGTGGTCGTGGTCGTGGTTGTAAGTGTACTTCGTTGTGGTGGGAAATAAAAAACCCCGTGGTGGCGCAGCGCAGCAGCCAGACCACGTTTGCATTGCGGCTGCGGGAAGAGGTAATCTACTTTACATGTAGAGAGAGTACTCTATGGTTGATGTATGCAGGGCATGGGAAGAAGCTTTTGACGGGCTGAAGATTCGCGCGCCCTGCCACGCGTTTGATGAGATCGATTTCGAATCTTTTTTTCTTGTGTGCGGGGGAGGCTTAAGCTTCCGGAGTGGTTGTGGGTTGATGTGAATTGGCGCCCTGTGGAAACTATGATGTCGCGACCGTAGCATGGTAGCGATAGGGAGGTAAGCAAACAAGAACAAGTATGGTTGGGGACACCTTGAGCCGGAGCACTTCCAACGTCAGGATTTCCCAAGCTAATAACTTTCCACAACCACACCCTATTTTAATTATCTCTTTGTTATTCGGCTAGTATTCATCTGATCTATCACCCTACATAGTCCAAATTAATTTAGCTGTTCTGTGGGTGGAGTTATTAGGGTCGGGGTTTGGTGATGAATGTCGCGTGCCATGTTAATTAGTATTAATACACTAGCTAACTGTAAACGAGAAGCAGTTATCTGTGCCAAGAGTCTAATTAACATCCGGTTAATTTTTGGATCGAATGTCGCATACTCCGGCTCAAGGTGTCCCCAACCCCAACCATAGCAGAGCAGGGCAAGCGAGAGCTGAAAAACAGCACAACGTGACGAAATCCCACAGTAACGTAACGCCGTTAACAACACCACCGCCAACAACAGCAAACGTCTATCGCGTTTAAAACTTTGGGCATTGCTGGCTTACTGACTTGCTGTCGATGGTACATGTATGCTGCGTAAATGTTTCGTCTATCTGACGGAATGAATGCCTAGCTAGGAGCTGGGCTACGGTAGGCGAAGAGAGAAGAAGGGAGATCCCCACAAAATCCAATCGAGATCAGAGTTAGCGAGGTGACGATGGATGAAAGATGATGGATAGAGATCTTCCCCATACCATCATCCATCTACCATCTTGACGTGGCTGGTTCAGGTTTTTTAATTTTGTTTACTTGCTTGACCCTGAGGTTAAAGCTAAAAAAAAACCTAGCGAGATCTGGAGGGAGGGATCCGCCCCATCTCATCCGTTAGGGTAGCGAATGTAATAATAGCTTGGCCTAACTAGGTAGAATATCTACTAGAGCACGTAAAGTAGGCCGGCGGGCCGATCCCCCCTCTAGGCTGATGAACGAATGAGACCGACGGACACACCGAGCACCGGTCGCCCTGTAAATTAACACTGACGCAGGGCATCATCGTTTAACGTGAAGCAGGAAAATCAAAAACCCGCTCATCCACCCTGTGACGACGTGTGGCTTGTGTGCGTGGGTGTGGTGTGGTGCTGTGTGTCTCAGGGTCACAGCTCTCAGTAACTCAGGGTCCCTTCATACCCGTGCCCCCTTTATGATGCCGTTGATGGGAAGAATTCACCGCGGAAGCCCTAGCTCTCTAACTTTTGGAGCTCTCTCGCTGCCGACCGTAATTGGATCGGATAGGGGTCCAGGACAGGGACGTGAGTGAGCACAGATACTTTTCTCTCCTGCTAGAGTACTCTACCTACCTTAATCCAGATTCTGCAGCAGAGACAGTTATTTTGGGTACGACTTGCATACGGTTCGCGGAGTGCCGGGTCGATTCCAGAGATTAAGAACACAGACACTTGCTCGCATGGCACTGCAGTGGGAGGGATCGATTGGCAGCTACGCATTTCTCCGAGCAGACAAAGGGAAAAAAATGGTGTGGACACACACAAAAAGGGTCCTGTCTCTCAAAAACTGAGCTAAGTGAAAGTTGGCATCCGGTCGGTTCCGTTGATCTGGCCCGCCCGAAAAACTCGCTCACTCAAATCCTTCGCTTGACCTTGCAAGTTGCTGCTGTGCTACACAGCCCGAATCCTTGCCAGCAAACACCCCTGTTAATTTGACAGTCCGACAGGCATTTTCTCCCAGATTTCCAGAATGATTCCTGATTCGGCAGGATCATGGAAGAGAGAAAATTCCTTCCATGTGGCATTGGCAGATCATGCAAGGCAAGTGTCCGGGTTCCAAAAAAAGAAAAAGAAAAATAACGGCAGGAAAAAAAGAAGAAAAAAAGATGAAAACTGAAAAGGAAAATAAATACCTAACCTGGCGCATCATCGCCAGTGACAAATTGTTTGTTTTAGACGCGTTTCCGCGGAGGTCCCTCACTCAGTGGCTGTTTATTAATTTTTAGCCGAGGTATTAAGTGCCCTTCGCTTTACTGAAGGAGCTGGCGTTACCAGGGCCATGGTCAATGATCATCAAGCAAGCGCGCATCATCGCTTTCCACGTAGTGTGGCTGCGACTCCGTTAGCCGGCTAACGCACCGCAATGCAATGTTGTTGGCATGATCATTACCGATCCTCGGTAAGGTAATGATCGGGAATGCAGGTATCTGCTCTAATGTCTTCAACACAACCTACCTACCTAAGGAATATGGATCGCGCGGCCGGAGATATAGGCTTCGGTGTCCGGGGAGTGTCGTCTATGTAGCTGGATTAACAAGTAGAAAGAAGCAAACAATTTTTTCGGTGAGTAGTATTCATGCAGCATGCAGAGTCGAGACTTGATAAAAGGAAATAAAGATATAGAGCTATAAAACGGTTGATTATTGTTGTTTGATAATCATTAGTACTAGGTACTGTTTTCCGTGACCCGGAAGTAGTTGGAAAAGGGGTGGTGTGTGGGCAGCGAAATCTCGTTCGTGAGAAAAAGAAATCCGTGTAACAAGGATTAGGTTAATTGAGGCGGGTGCGTGTGGGTGAATGATCAACGCAAGGAAGAAAAAGCACGCGTTATCAAATTCCCAAAGCCCAACTAGCAGTGCAAGAAGCGATTCCCGCAGTCAAATCAAAGACATGGAAAACTCGCACCGAGGTGTGTGGCTGCTTGTCTTTGGTGTCATGATCCCTGCAATCGATAGATGCGAGGCAGTGGTGTGCACGGTGCATGCATGCATTAATTACCTTAGTGGACGGTTCGGTCGGTGTTGTTGCGCATCCCCCGGCAGTACAGAACTCTAGAAGCATGCATGGAAGGATCTCAGAAGGATTTTTCCTTGACTGGTCCTGCTGCAAGATTAAGGGTGTTCTGGACCGGTGCCGTTCATGTGTGTGTGTGGGGCTAGCCTCTCTATCCCACCCCCCGCGCTGTCTCTGACCGAGATCTGTGTTCGCTTATCCTAATTCCCACGAGGTTTGGCAGGGAAAAAAAAAAAAAAAAAAAAAAAAAAAAATTCCCGAGTTCCGGGAGATGGGTTGCTGAAACCTTCTTGGTGAGGGCCTGTCAGTTGTCAGTCAGTTCAGATACAGTGCTTACGAGTAGCGCGGTGTTTACTACCCTGCCCCATTCACAGTAACTCACTGTTCACGGTGCTCCCTCTGCTCTGTCTGCGATCTCTCTTCCCCCCCTGGCTCTTGGCCATCTCCATCTGGTGGGAATAGGCAGGGGGATCAATAGACTTTTATACATTTTGAGTCTTTGGAGGCGTAAACGAGTACAGAGTCTGGGAGAATTAATGCGAAAGTCAGCGCTAAAGGAGTGGGTTTCTTGGTCCGTGCTCACAGCAAAAGTCCTTTCAAGAGCCAATGGGACTATCGGGTCACGGAAAACACACTTTCACAATAATTCTCCCCATCACTATACACAGAGGGGAGAGATGGCTTGCTTGCTGCCCTCGAGCTGCATATCCAGTCCCGGCAGCCATGACTCGGGAGGATAGCCGAGTCAGTACATGTAGACATCGGTTAATTTAGTATCCTTTCGTTTGCACGGGAGCTTCAGGATGTATATGTGGATCGTGCAGAGTAGATTATTTTGGAATCTGCGAATACGATAACAGAGACATGAATGGTTGAGTAACGAGAGTCATGGGAGGTTATCGTCGGATCATTTTGGTGAGAGGTGGCCTGTTGCGAGTTTCGTCCACACCTCGTGATGGAGCACACAATAGTTGCAGAACCATCAGGAGAGCTCTTGTTGCCTTGATTATTATTAACGAGTGTTTATCAATTCATACTCCGAATAGATATTATTGGGATCTATACTCTAGGCATCGTGTTTCGTATGTCATACGGAGATACTTGCCTTACCATACATACATGTAGTTAGTTACTGTATACGCATCGAGCTTCTATTTCTTTCCCAATCATATTGACGGACAGATGGATTAAGGACTCGTGATCGGTCCGACCAGTGGGGATTGCAATTGAGTCCACGAGCGAGCTTACGTGCGTGAACATGAGATTGAGCTCACGTTTTTTCCATGTTTTATTTTTCCTCGTGTCGGCAATGCCGAAGGAGGATTTGTTTTTTTTTTCAGAGGAGAGATATGGTTTCTCTAAACGCGCTACTGCAGCAAAGAGAAACAATTTATGTATTACGAGAGAGAGACTGGACAGGCCAGGAGATAAAGGGACTGCATTGACCTGAGCTTCTTGCTCTGCTTTGTGGTGCGTGCATTACGGACGGAGAGAGCTAGGTGCCTACTGTCCAAGCCTCTACTACTTACTGCATGGGTGAGTTTGGGGAAAAGAGACATCCGGCCTCCTGCGAATTAAGCGCGATGAGATGGGGGGAACAAAAATCTGGACCCAAACGGGGGAGAGGAGCTGCTGTTTCGTGTCTTGTGTTTTGTCGCTGCCCTAGCGTTTACCGATCGGGGTTACACCAACTTGCTGGGGTGGGAGGGAGGAAGGGATCTTTTGCGGGGCGATCGATAATCGTCTACAAGGGTCTTTCGGGCGTTGGGAAGTCCGCTGTTTCTCCGCGCACAGCAAAGTGGAAATTTTTTTGGCAGGGGGTGGTGGGAAAGGGAGACTGTGGACCCTGGGAATGTTGTCTATCACGTTCAAGCCACAGTCGGTCGGTGTGGGCTGGACCTCGGCACGAGAGAAGAAGGGATGGGAATGTTGAGACCTGGATACCAGCTATGTCACTCTGCTTCAGAAAGTGTATGAAATGTGGCTACCTCTCGCACCGTGGATGGGCAGCATAGCCACAAAAAAATCTAATCTATCGGAAAAGCATGGGTTTGTGTGGGGGAAAACTAAAAATACTGGGTACGACTCGCGTAAACTCCTCCATAGGTACCGTAATCTGAAATAAGGAACTTGTGGACCTGTGGACCACAGAAGAGGGAATATGTGGAAGGGATGATTGGCCCAACAAGAGCTTTCCCGTCAGCTTTGGAAAAAAATAACCAAACAGGGAATGACAAGGGTGGAAGAATTTGTAAGAACGGAGTGAATGTGTGAGTGTGAGTGGTGGTGGTGTGTGCCCATTTTTCCGGAAAGCCGGGTTTTGAATTTTGAATTGGTCGCATCGAGGTTCTGGTTGGGGGGGAGGTGAGGGCAAGAGAGAACGTTACTCTAGCTGCTAGGGTTCTGGAGTGAGTGAGGCCTGTGCACGGAGGCTATGGGATTCAACCAGCGAGCAAGGGTTGACAGCAGTTGAGGCCGAGTCTAGGGATGTGGTACACTGGTACTTTCTGGGAGACTCGATTATTATTATGACGCATCATGCTTGCTACCGCTGCCTGCACCACCACATCCTGAACTTCTCGCAGTTGGCTGCTCCACCCGCACACCACACCCCACTTTGCACCCAGCAGATCGTTCAACCAACACTATCAGATCCCGCCATATATATCAAAGCCGCCGCGATGGATGTCTTTACTATCAACAGCAGTCTGCTTAAACGGCAACAAGAAGCTTATCACGCTATAATATCTAGAGTCGAGCTCTACTCCCCTCGTTTAACACACCACCTTCATCATCGCTCAAAATCATCATCACCTACAAAACGCCTCTCAGCCCCACGACTACGACGACTTTCTGCAAGCTTTAATAGACCCCGTCTATACTGAGAAGATATAGAACTATAAGTAGTCAAGTCTAAACGCCGATTAAGCAGCTCACGATTCAGTTGGTTCGGTAATTGATCAGGTGGACCGGTAATTGCGTGCCCCCCCCCCCCCGAGATAGCTTCTCAGCTTTGGTCTTTCTTGTAAGTTCTCTTCTGTATTACCCTACCCTTCCCCCCGGACATACACCCTACCGCCTCCGGCGGAGAGCCCAGTCCGCAGCCCGCATAGGTCATTAAGGGTCTCCTTGACCCTGACCCACACCCTCTGCCGCAGATGGCTATCCTCGGAGCGGAGTTCTACCCACACACTCCCAGTTAATAAGCCCTTAGCCCTCAGCCCTCATACCACTGCACTCACATTCTTCTCAAACATGCTAGATGATACCCGTTATGAAGGTTGTCAGTTATCTAACCCATGTGCCTTATTATAATGTAGCTTGATCAGCGTCATAGCTTTCTACCCCCGGGGGTTCCGATCGAGACCCGCACCTATCCTCTAGAGTCCTACTTACCCACCTAAAGGGAGCTCAAGAATAAAGCCATCCCCAATCCTCTCACAGCATCATTATCCCGTGCTATCTATCCCAAATCCTCTTTCACATCCTATTTTAACTCTTCATAATGAGAGCCCCTTCGCCCCAGACTACTACTACTCAATACCACCACAGTAGCTACACCTCACCTTACCAGACCTACGACCTTGCTTTCTACACTGCTCCACCACAAGTCGAGCTCACTCCAGCACAGAAGAGACAGAAGCTTGAACAAGACTTTGCTGCCGGCTTCCCCCCAGACGACGAAGGTTATCCATTCATCTCTCAACTCCATTCTTACCCAACTACCACCATGCCTATCAGGAACATTCCTCTTAACCCTCACATCAACCTCCAGAGGGCCTCAGAGCCAGCTTCCCCAATAACCATTGCTACCTCTCTTTCTACCCACTCTACACCAGCATCTTCACCTTCAAGAGTTACTATCATGTCTGCCCACGGCTCCCCCGCAGATTTCCAGCTGTACGACGAGTGCTATGATCGCAAGCGACGGAACATCCAGAATTTCGAGAATACTTCCACCCAATCACGGTTCGGCAATGGCTACGACTCATCGATGACACAGCCACTCGAATTCTTTGACCATCAACCTCGCCATTACCTGCAAGCTCCTCCATCGCAGCAGCAATTCGGGAGCCAGGGATTGGTGAACAGTCGCGCAGTCATGCACTCCGATGACGACGAGCTTCCAGCTTTGTCACCCCACCACCGGGGCCAGTTCTCGTCAAGACTTTCCGCTTCGGATGTGGACCTGCACTCGCCCACCACCCCCATCGCTTCACCAGAGTCTGTCTGTGGCGATGGAGTACAAGTAGCTCGTGAGGATGCCTGTCAATATATTGAGTCGTGGATTGACCATTACTTACTCTCCGATTCAGAACTACACCATCCAATCCCAGGCCCCCCTAAGCTCGATCGAACTGTCTCCGACGCTATCCAAGACGAGCTATATAACCCTGGTGTCGCCCCTGGCACAGAACACGCTACTCGGCCATCCTCTCCTTGCACGACCCCTTCCAAGGTTGCATTTCTCTACCAGCAAGCCCAAAACCAGCACGCCATTACCACGTCGCCAATAGTTCGCGACCACTCACCTTTCCGTGCCAATTCGCCTTACGCGCACTTCCCAGTTGTCACTCGCTCACCCCAGAGAACCACGACCTTGATTCCTGCTGGCTTCGCAACTGCTCGTGCTCAGAGGGAGAAGCTGATAGCAGTTGAGCGAGAGGTACTGAAGAAGCAAATGGAGGAAGACTACCATAACATCGATCTCGTCGATCACCCTTGTACTATCTCACCAAAAGATGCCTACCATGAGTACCACGAATCATCACAAGAGGGCATCAAGGGTCCTCTCTTTGCTTCTCAGGAGGATGTGTACTCTCAGAACGGCAGTATTCAAAGCGGCAGCTACAAGGGTTCAGTTCAAGGCGACGAGGAAGACGATCAAATTTACAATCTCAAGAGGGAAGAGACTCAAGAGAGCTATGCTAGCATGGCCACCAGCCGCAGAGAGAGTGATGCTAGTATGAACTTCAATGCTACCATGTTCCCAGCCAACCAGCAATTCACCCCACTTGGATTCCCCTACAGCAATTACGCCGATGGTTCTGATCACAAGCCTCAAATGGCCGAAGATGAGGGCGAATATGGTTACCAGTCTGCCGGCTCACCCCTTACGAAGCCTGCAGAGTCCAAAGCGAATAGGGGAGGATACACCTGTACAGTTCCTGGATGCAACCAAAGGTTTCCCACCACGAACAAAATGGCAAAGCACAGACGCGAAGCACACAGACAGACGAGTCCCGGTAGCCGCGGTGATGGCATCGCCAGGTCGCACCACCCCGGACCTCACAAGTGCAACCGCCTAAATCCTACCACAAACAAGCCCTGTAACACAATTTTCTCTCGGCCCTACGACCTCACTCGTCATGAGGATACCATCCACAATACCCATCGCGAGAAGGTACGATGCGAAATTTGCAACGACGAAAAAACCTTCTCAAGGCAAGATGCCCTTACACGTCACAAAAAGGTAAATTTCCCCCTTAATTGATAAGGAATCAACATGAAGATCTGCTTTGTAGATAACCATCTTAGATGGCTTTGTGTTGAATCGCCTTGGTATGATGTGAATTTTCACTAACATCATTATTTTAGGTAAAACATGGTATCGACAAATAGCCGATCGGACGCGCCCAAATTGTCTCCTTTTTTCATTTCTTGATGACGCGGGGTGATGGTGAACGACACCAATTAACTTCAAAAACAATCCTGTTGCGATCGATAAACTGAGGAGGGATCTACAATCAACACAAGTTAGATCAGCAGTTCACTGCTTTTCTTGCTCGCCCTACACTAGAAGGGTGGGAAGATGCATGGAAGAACATGGGTTGTATAGGCTTGGCGGCTTACCCGCCCCACTAGTCCTCCATGTACAACCATGACGTCACTCACTTCACTTTCTTGCACAATCACATCAAAGCGTGGACCTCCGGTTTTTCATTCAGAAGGTCTCGTTCCACCTGTCTCGGTTCTCGATTTCGGCCACTTGTTTTCGGGGTTAACCGTTTACCACCATCACTATCGTCATCTATTTTCTTATTTGAGAGATGTTTTTCTTTACACTTCCATTCGATTCTAAAGTTTGTATTATTACTTCAACACTTTGCACTCTATCTCGATTGGTTATTACTTGTATAGGTCTGGTTACTACTTTCCTTTCATCTTTTCATATATTTCGAAAAATATTTCAAGACGGGTATCTTTGGTTTTTTGTTTTGCTTTTATGCGCTGGTAGCTTTTCCTTTGTTCTGAGCGCACTTGGGTAGAACTCTAAAGACGAAAGAAAAGAAGACATGAATCATTTTTTGGCGTTATTTGTTTTGAGCTTCTTCGAAGCATCATCGGCCGCGGGGGGGGGGGGGGGGGGGTATTTTGTTTTTTGGATTATGAACCTATTACTGTAACATTACGATTATTGTGTGCCTCCTTGGTGCGAGATTCATGACTGGTGTTTATTTGATTTTGGGTGGTTATTTGTTTTATTGTTCAATACTGTACTACTATTTTGTATCACTAGCTACTTCCACTGCGTGCATTGAATAAGTTCAACACTTTTCACAAACTTCTTCTCGTGACATCTTAATAGCCTGTCCTTTGAATGTGGGCACGATTGAAACCCAGGTTGCTTTTTCTCCCATGATATGCACCATCGAAGCGTACCTGTGGAGCCGACATGCAGACCAACCCGCGTGCCGTTAACCTAAAATTTGTTGCCCTGCCCAGCGTGTTCCTTGAATTTTTCGTTCTACCGAATCTGCATTTTGATCATTGGTGTTCCTGTCGCGGCGCGTCATGGGAGTAATTTTCATCCCTCTTATTCTACTAGAGCAATGTATTTTGGGCCTGGCGCAGGCCGCGCAGCAGTTCAACGGTTGAAAGTTCATGAGGGGACTTAATCATTGGCTCTGTGTCTCATTCTCGATGCAACGCCAGTAAAACAAGGTTAGGCTCGTGGAGTCTACGAGTTTGGTTCGTTAATTATTGGCCAAGACATGATTCGGGCTAGATCAGGAGCATGCGTGGCGCATATGCATGCATATGTGCACCTACACACGCACAGCCCGAGCAGCCACGTTTTATTTTCGGTTCCATTGTGGAGTACTGCAGAACTCTTGACAACATTCGAGATACGTCTCCAAATTTCTATTCATTGATCATGATCGATGATGATACTGATGATGTGTTTTTTTTTTGGGTAAACGGTGGAGAATTAATTCTCTTTGCTTTTTTTTTTTTGCGTTTTCAGCCCCTCGCCGGTTTTATTAACTCGACAATTTGAAACGGCACTCTCGGCGGAGCAGGCAGAGGATATGTATGAAGCATGTATGGCCTCTCTCTTTTTTCATTTTTGCCACCTTTATCTTTCTATCAATTTGGTTAATGTATCTGATAGTAGTTAGTAATAGATCTGGGCACGTACGTTCTCGAAGAGTGGCAAGAGCTGAACCAAATACACGGTTATCTGATTGGTTGTTTTCTCTTGTCTGCAGTTTGTTTCGATATGGGGAATCTGTTCTTCTGCACATATCATTCTCGTGGCAATCTGTAAACAATTCCAATGTCGACCGAAACCCGGCAGAGCATCATCCATCTGTCCGGATCCTCGGGTATGGTAGTCAATTCGGTAAAACAGAGTGCTTCTAGTGGAAACACCTTAGCATTACGCGGGGGAACGAGGGGGAGGCACGGGTTCGATTTCCACATACGGTTTGCATGGTGGGGGGTGAATAACGGCTACCTTAAGGGTGGGATAGTACGCAAGAGTCGTCGTAAGAGAATCCATATGTTGAGAGTCACCTTGAAACGGTCCGTCACCGTAAACGGGGTATTCGTTGCGGCCAGCATGGAGGAGGAGGGGGGGAAAGAAAGGGGGGAGGAGAATGAGTATGCCTTGAATATCATGTTGTGCAATTTATGGCTAACCAGATGTTTAGGGATTGATCATCCCGATCTCAACAACAGGCCTACGGATAAACAGCTAAGCAGTCTGGAAGCGCTTTCTCCGTTAAGATGGTCGGGCGATATCCCCTCCACACCAAATCTCTATAAAACCGAATTGATCATTTCCTTTCGAGGTCTCACTAACAGGCCTACAGATAGACAGCTAAGCAGTCTGGAAGGGCTTTCTCCGTTAAGATGATCGGGCGATATCCCCTCCACACCAATCTCTATAAAACATAATTAATTGATCATTTCCTTTCGAGGTCTCATCGCCGTGGCCACATGTAGCCCAATAGACACTTATCTGCCGAGATGACTGACACAAAGAAAGGGATATTGTTTCAAGTCTCAGATACCGTGGGCACCAGTCAGTTGGTAATGCACATGTAACTCATCGAGCTTAATGTGACAGCGCCCATCAAAGAAAAATTCGGAAACAAGATGAAACCACCAAACACCCTCAATGAGCGGGGTATCTGATATTCGATCTAGACACTGGAAGCCACCAAGGCAGATTAGGTTCCTGAGTCTGAGTCCCATGATAGTGTTGATCCCAGTAAGGTAGAAAGTTGAATTTCTGTGCGTGGGCCATCAGGCCACATATTACCTCTAGATGGTCGTCGTCCCAGCCGCCAATAAACCACTAGAGATCATATAATGTCACTCGTCCTTAGTGGCTTACTTAATAATGCAATGCGATCGGCATATAATACCTCTAGTACTAGTGTCCACCAATGAACCAACCACAAGGTCTCGACCCAAATCTCCGAGGAAATAGAAGAACATGAATACCGGGGAATCGATTCACAGATCACCTCTAGAGTACATGTAATTTCATGTAAGAACGAATAAGCTGGCGCTTTACCCAGGATATAGTGTAAATCCTTACCTCTTTCGTTAAAGCAAGCTAGGACTATGAGGCGCCGCTGTTCCTACAGCGAGAGGTAGAATTATTGTACAGATTCTGGTAGAATTAATGCGAAAGTGGGTTTTCCGTGACCCGATAGTCCCATTGGCCCTCAAAGGAATTTTTGCAGTGAGCACGGGCCAAGAAACCCACCCTTTTAGTTCTGACTTTCGCAATAATTCTACCGGATACTGTAGAAACAGGGGTCTAAAAACAGGGTTTAGGTGGCTGACTCGGCCAATAGAACTCTTCCCATGCTTCTACCCCACGCTGTACATGGAATGTGTCCTTTGCAACATATAGCTCAATTCACGATAGAGGATGGGCGTGTCAACTTGAATTCTCATTGACCGAAACTGACTTTTAGCTCGAAAGAAGCGTGGTTTAGGGTTTTGACTTGAGGCTCTCCCTCCAAAATTTATTGCCACCCAAGTTGAGACACCCACCCCCTATGGTTTTTCCAATGCAGGCAGAAGTGGCAGGCTCACTTACTGGTTTGGTCTTTGCACTTGGGGCCGATGGTGCTTAGTGATGTTGGTTTACTAGCAAATGTAAGGCTCTGACTGAGTCTGGAGACCAATATTGTACAGGTACATACCAGCATGTATTACACACGAGATTTTTAGAGTATTTTGCAGTCATCGTAGAACTTTCGAATAAGTATTGAGTCAAAGATAAATCGCTAATGTGATCACTGAATACTAATCAGCTTGAAGTTTAATTTCAATCATTGACTGTTGTCTCATGATCAGCGCTACCATCAGAAATCCTTCCCACCCCCTGTCCACCACTCATAATAGATATTTTGGGCCTCTCTTCGCTTCTTTTGACAAACTATTTGATTATCCCCTTCTCGTATCCGAAGCTCATGACCAAAAATGTAGAATGAGTCAACGCCGTTTCACAGGGGAAATTCGTGATCCTTGTGCCTCGGCTGAGTTGGCAAACACGGTGAAAAAATGCTCTCTATACTTCTCAACTGGCCAGTAAGGATTAGTAAAGATGCAATATAAAGGGTATGCTCCATAGGGGAGCAAAATGGAGGCGCGGGGAATCGAACCCCGGACCGCTTCTATGCTAAAGAAGCATTATACCACTAAACCACGCCCCCATTGGTATTAAAGACTCTATTTGAATTTTTGAGAGAATTTTAATAACGCGGGTTGATAGTGTAAATCGATACCTTGCCACTCTAGCCATTTTGGTGCTTAGTATGAGTTTGGTAAAAATGTCAAAGGCTTGGCTTTGGCGACTGAAATCCTAGTAGCTATAAGTAAGCGAGAAATAGTTGAGAAGCGTTAGAAAATATTCCTCCTAATTTTCAATAGTTTGGCATGAGGAGTGTTTGTAGCTGGCGGTGTTTCCGACCATTCAGAAGTTCTTCCGGCCTCCGAGAACTTAAAGCGAGCCCTTTTCATTCTACATTCGGTATTTTGTTCTATGGTAGATTTTGCGCTATTAGTTGGGTGAATAATTGTGGGACTGTTAAAGGGATTGCGTTGATTAGTCACCGGATATCACTCGATAGCCAAGACAAGAACGCCGTATCTCGGATAGCAACGACACAATCCTCAATCCTCCTTCAAACCATGATCTAAAATACTAATTGTAAATCTATCGCTCTCTGGCTTCAATGATATACGATTATCTTTCCTATATCTATTGTAGTTGTTGTTCGTTGGGGCGTAGTTGTTTTGTAACCCAGTTTTGTTCTTATGGAGTGAGCGCTACGTGTTTTATCTTTGTATGGCTGTTATCTCATCGATCGATCTCATCAATCTCATCTTTACTTACATCCTAACTTATTCGGGTCCTATGATGTAGCCCTGATGAACAACTCGCGGTCGCGATGTTTTTATGAATGACGTCAACGAAAGTCACTGGTCCGCAATTAATAGCGATACCTATTGTATTTTTTTTTTTTAAAAAAAGGAAATTTCATCAAAGGGAAATTCTTCCACTGACTAAGTAATTTTCGCTCTCGTTCTTTTCATCATCGTGAACCAATCCATCTGGCATTTTCTTCCGTCAATGAAATATCGCTCACGAGCAATGGACCGCTCTTTACCCTTAGAATTGATAGGAACATGGAATGGAGCTCGGAGACTTCTTAGGGCTAGGTATAGAAATGGTCATCAGGGCATGCCCTGGAATGGTTTTATTTTGCCGGAGATCATCTACACCATACCCATTGTTCCGGCGGCCGCGGGAGCCGTGGATTCGGGCTCGGGGAATCTCACTGATGAAGGGGTCCGGTTTATCAACCGCCGCGGTGGATTACTCGATTAGAATACCTTTATCATCAGTTTTCGTTCATCTTTGGTGTTTCGTCTGAACTAGCATTGACCATTCATGTCTTTGGAGCATCGGTAACAGACCTACATGTAGTCATTTAGAGTAGACATTGACATCGGAGTAAAAACACGTGTTTCGGAATATACTATTTTTGGAAGGCTCTAGTAGCTTCTAACTTCATTTTTGGGGGCGACATCGTGCAACGCGGGTTTAGGCGCTAACACCGAGAGCTCCCGATGCCAGAAATTTGCTGATTGGTAAGCCCTCTTAGGGCCTTCTCTGAATCAAGATCAAAGGAAAACTTCAAAACCGCAACCAGTGGAGATCTAGAATTGCCAGGACTGAATAAGGGAACCTCTCCAAATTCTCGACGTCTAGATTTCTTGAGACGTATGTCGATGGTAACCGGTTGCCAGAGAGCCGTCTCCCTCCATCATACCTCCCCCCCCCCAGGGCCTGAGCTGCGAGTTTGACGTACGTATGGTTAGCCTAGGAGTCTTCATGGTTTTTTTTTTTTCTGCGAAGATTGAACTAAGAATTAAAGAAGTCAGATTGTACCTTTACGCACCAGGCCTCAACGCTCATTGGTCGTATGTTCGATCCAGAAAATCTTTCCTGGCCGTTTGCATAACTAAGAGTTAGTTTTGAAAATCGAACCTCAGATAACGAACGGGGGGAGTCGGCGCGATGTTACACTCAATGAGGACGTCTAGACGTACTGTCACGGCTTCAACCTCTAGATGGGGGATGCTACCCAGTGGTTTTATATTAGAAATCTTTAGCGAGATTTGATGGAACACGATATATTTCTGGCGGTGCAAAGTCACTATGAGGCTTTGTTGCACACGTATATTCACCATGACGAGTGGTTTAATTAAACCCAGAGAGCCTCAGCAGGTACATGTAGTTACGTCATGCGGCTTATCGTCAACTGTATGTCGGGGGTATCCGGGGATCGCTGTCTTAACCCTTACGGCCATGCGGGAACCCGCCTTGATAAACGAATAGATAAACGAACATCGCCGTAATGATGCTCCGCTGCGGGCCTTGCGGCGGGACTGATCTCCCCTCTGGTATACAAAATTAGCGGGTGGAAGGCGGGAAGAGTCGAGTGCAAGTACAGACACCTCTTAAGCTTGGGCGGCAAGAAGGATGAAAGCTTCGAACCCTAGGTGTCGTAGGTCTGATGTGCGTGTGATGATATATCAAAACAGTTGAGTTGGGAGCATGTGAGATTGATGGGTACATAATTGTGAACTCAGACGGGGAGATCTCGAGGCCAACCCGACCGCATGCGGTGAAATAGACCTAAGGATATGCTAGCAACAACCAGTAACCGATACATCTGAGACCCTTGTATGAACAACAACAGTGACCCAAGGATGTATCTGTGGCTGGTGGACGTGTGAGAATCGGCTAGAAGGGATCAATGCCCGCAATCCGCCGGTCTCGGCGGCTACGAGTGATGTGCCATGATGAAGTATCGTGGGAGGCTGGGAGCAATTCATAGGTGGTGGTTTGTTTTTTATAGAGCCACTCACTACCAGCTAAAGCTTACCAATCAGAGTGCTACTCGTGCTTTTCAGTGGTCTTAGATATCAGTCCTTGCTACGCGGAATCCGCTCGAGGAGTGTGTTGACGGAGGACAACATGTACATGATTACTAAGCGGTGGTGGACCGCTTCGGCGAAGTGGACAGATGTAGCGGACAGGTGGGCGGACCACGTACGCCCGCCGACAATTATATTTATAAATACTTAGCTCCGTAGCATCAATGAAAAGACATCTTGAGCATCATACATAATACCGTGCGCTAAAGTGCATAAGAGATTTTTGGCAGTGGTGGTGGTGGTGGTGGTGCACGGTGGTGGGTGATGGTTGACTTTAACTTTCCAGCCAGGGCGGTGGTGGTAGCGATACTAAGCTACATTTAACCTACAGTAGCGACTTGTATATACCCTAAAGTACCCTAAAGTTTAAGCGAAATTTAAGCTTTCAATGCTGAGCTAATTGCCAAAGCATAGATAAATTTTGGGCAGGCCGCTAGTTTGCCAGGCTGTGAAATACCAAATACAATTAGAGGACACCATAATATACTAGTTATCATCCTATTCTTGCGGCTTGCGCATTTCACACCCCCATGGAGGGGCCCGCCGGGGAAAGTGTCAATTTTGCGTTTCGCAGCGAAGTGTCAATTGCCAAAAAAATGACACTTTGTAAAATACGCTCTAATAATTGACATCTCCCCCCCCCCCCCAGGGCCCATCTATATACGCACCGCTAGTACACTACCAAAGACCAGCAGACAATATTCCATAAACTGTAGCGGCGTGGGGGGTCCCAATCGGGTTCTTGCAAAGAAAATTTTTTCATGTAGTCATCCATTACGAAATGTGGCGCGCGTAGCCACGAGTGACATTCCATGACACACCCCGTCCACCAGCCTCCCCCCCCCCCGGGGCAAGCTGGTGACCACCGGCTGAGTCCCCCCCCATCACACCACCCCACTAGCTAGCACCTAGACCCTTACCCCCCCGCACCGCGCCCACGGCACCAGGGCGCACCCCCCCACAGTCTCGCGTGGCTTCGGTTAACCCTTGGCAACTGTTGTTACTGTAACGGGGTGGAAATGATCGTTCTGCTGGTTTTTTTTCTTTTCCGGACGACCAACTACAGGCACTTTTTACTTTCTACAGTCGTTTACCGTGTCTCTTGACGAATACTGCCACTCGACGAGCATGGTTTCCAAGTATGGGCAAGCTGCTGTGAGATCTCCAGTTCTTTTTTGATTTCTCTTGGCTCAAGGTCCCCCCTGGCAGTATTCGTCAAGCGACGGTAAACGGCTTGTACTATGGTAAAAAAAAAAAAAAAGGCAGAGGCTGGACAGAGACTGGACAGATAACCACAGTTCGCGGGGGGACTTGATATGTTTCCCCCGGATCACGAATGCCTACATACACGTGCTCACCGACGGATTCGCTTCCTATCTACATGGCCGTGTCAATGATCACGACCAAACGAGACCAAACCGACCACCAACCACCAAACCAACTACCAACTAAGAAACAAAGAGAAGGAAAAAAAGATGCCGCCCCATAATATGCAAGCAAGCTATGCTACAACCACCCCAGAACTAAAAAAAAAAAAAAAAAAGGGCCTACCAACGAAATACCTAGCTAGCCAAGAAAAAAGAAAAAGAAAAAGAAAGCCAAACCTAAACCTAAACCCAAAACCACAAGTCTCTACCTCTAAAACGCCCAACTCATATCCGGCTCCTGAAACACCGCCACCGGCGGCCTCACCCCCGCACCCCCTACCCCCCCCATCCCCATCCCCATGGCCCCCACGCCCCCCATGCCCCCCATCCCCGGCACATCCATATCCACCACCGTCACCGACCCCCTCCTCCTCCCCATCTTGACCCTCTCCCCGGCACCTCCCACCTTCGCACCCCCCAGCACCCCCACCCTATCCCCGCCCGCCGGCAAGAAGCGCCAATTCCGCACCAGCTCCAGCGCCAGCAGGTCGCACCCCATGCGGTCATACAGCCGTGCCGTGTGCAGCACAAACGCGCTCTCGTCGGCCGGGCTGATGCGCGCCGCGCCGCGCAGCGTCTGCACCGTCTTCTCGCGGATCTGGTGGTAGAGGATGACCAGCGCGGGGTCGTCGGACGTGAACAGCTGCGAGGCGGGCGTGGCCGCGGGGGTGGGGAGGAGGGAGCATAGTGGCATCTGGCTTCCGCGTTAGCTAGCTGTTGCTTTTGGGGGGAGGGGAAGGGTTTTGGGGGGGGGGGGGGGGGGTACAAGAAGCGACTGCACGGCCAGGTCCTTCTTGCGCAGCATCCAGAAGGCCCATGAGGCCAGCCAGCGGTTGCCGTGCTCGGCGGCGAGCGGAAGGATGCGGTGCTCGAGGAGGGAGTGCAGTACGGGCGAGGCGTCGCCGTCGTAGACGCGGGCGATGGCGATGGCGAGCTGCGGGTCGTCGAGCTTGTCGAGGCAGATGTTGACGGCGTCTTTGAGGCTGTCGGCGAGGAGGAAGAAGGCTGCTGCGTATTCTGCGCTCTCGCTCTCGGTGTTAGTGTAATATCTTCAACCCCCCCCCCCCCAACTTCCAGATGTATGTATATATATGTGAAGGGAAAGGAGGATGAATTGCTATACTAACCAAACCGCCGCTTCCCCAACAGCGCATACGCATTCTTCTTCGCCGCCGTCCGCCACCGCTCCTCCCTAAAATCGCTCGCAAGCAGCTTCATAGTCCCCGCCTGCTCGCGGTTCCACGCCGCCATGCGCCACAGCCCCACCAGCACCGCCTTCTTCCGCAGCGCCAGATAATACAGACTGCAATGCACCGGATTGCGCTCATCAGTGCTATTATACGCATTCCGCGCCACAACCTCCATCTGCCGCCTCACCGCCGCCTCATCGCGCAGCCACAGGAAGATCCCACACTCCCTCGCCGCCGCCCACGTCATGCTGCCGCGATTCACAATGTCCGACAGGATCTCCTGCGACTCGCTGTGGAACGCCCACACCACCTCGCGGTACGACACCGCCGCCGCCTCCTTCTTCCGCTGCAGCGCGCCCTGCCGGTAGAAGAGCAGATAGCGCGCGGCATTCTCGTCGATGCTGCGCCGGTGCTGCCGCACCTGCCCGACGCACTCGATGGTGCCCGCCAGCATGATCTGCTCGCTGCCCGTGAGCGCCGGGATCGGGATCTTGACCAGCAGCGCGCACAGCGAGGCCGCCAGCGCCTCGTCGAAGCTGCTGAACTCCTCCTCGGCGAGATAGTCGAAGAAGCCGCCGGCCGCGGCGCGGTTGCGCGCCCCGCCCCCGCCCCCGCCCCCGCCGCCGCTGGTGTCGTCGTCGGGGATGAGGAAGCGCTCGATCGGGATGTCGAGGAGGTTGTCGAGTGGGATCTCTTCGTGCCAGGTGCGCAGCGCCCTGTGCAGCGCCACTAGGATCTCCTCGACCAGCGCGCTCTTGCCCGCTAGGATGCACTGCTGCAGGAACTGCGGGTGGTACACGGGCACTGGCCCGTTGAGGACACTGACAATCTCAAACACGTCGTCGTCGAGGCGGCCCTTGTGGTGGGCAGGCAGCGCCAGGCCCATGCCGTCCGTCTCCTCGATGCGGCGCGAGTGCACAAACAGCTGATTCCCCGCGCCGATTACGAGGCCGCCGTTGGCCAGCCAGAGCGAGTCGCCGATGGGGTGCGGCGTCAGGTCGCGCGTGCGGATCTCGCGGAAGGCGGCCCAGCTGGGCCCGTGGGCGAGGTAGTCGTAGCGCAGCTGGCAGAGCAGCAGCACGCGGTGCGGGAAGCCGACGGCGAGGATGCCCTGCGAGTCGGGCGTGCTCGTCCAGTCGAGGTCGCGGATGGCGTCGCCGGTCGCAAAGTCCTGGCTGTGCTCGAGCTGCGCCGCGCGCGAGTCCCAGATGGTCAGCGTGCTGCGCGCGGCGTTGACGAGCGCGATCTTGCGGATGGAGTTGCCCTTGGCGAGGGCCGGGTTGGCGATGCCCGTGGGGACCGTGCTGGTGGGGAGCCAGCGCAGGGTGGGCGGGGTGTCGGTGGGGGAGAGCTTTGCGGTGAAGGATTTCAGGAGCCCGGAGGCGTTGACGGTTGTTGCGACCTCGCGGGAGAAGGTGTCGAGCGTGCTGGACGGCGAGAGGGTGGCGTTCCAGCCGACGGGGTCGACGGGGAGGATCATGAGCAGGTCCTCGTCGTGGTCCAGCTCGAACGTTGCGAACTCACGCAGACTCGGCGGCGAGGCCGTCGTGCTGATCTCCCAGGCTATGCCCTTCATCTCCGAGGTCAGGCCCACCACATGGAGCTTCTCACGGGTGTCCTTCGCCTCCGGCAGAAGCAGCAGGCAGAGCATCTTCCCCTTGGAGCTGTACGGGAGGCGCGCGATCTCCTTCGCGCGCTGCTGCCTCGTGTTCCAGAGGACCACACATTCATGGTGCATCGTCATTACCAGTTTTCCTGCCAAACCGATCATTGGTCAGCCCTCCCCCCCCCCCCACACACACGCCAAACACAGAAACACCCAGGGGACAAACAAACCGTCGTCCAGCACCACCGCTCTGTGCACATGCATGTCCGGCTTCAGCGAGCTCTGCCTGTTGAGCGTGAAGTGGTCGCCCCGGGGCTGCGTCCACACGATGTGCTCGTTGTCCCGCGTGAGCGTGATCATGGCCTTTCCGTCGGCCGTCCGCACCAGCGTCTCGATGGGCGTCGAGTGGCCCGAGAGCACGCCCAGCACGTCCATCCTCTTCCCGCGCGGCGACAGGTCGAGCAGCCGGTCGAGCCGGGCCTCGAACCAGCACAGCCGCCCGTCAAAGACGTGCGCGAGCACATTCAGGCCTACAACACACACACACACCCATAAGCCCTACTGCGCCCTGATAACCTACAGAAACTACAAAACCAGGCATATCGATCATTTACCTTTCCCACCGGGCCACGCCTGGAAGCACACAAACGCCCCTTCCTCCCCCTCCTTCTGCAGAAACGGCTCCAACCCCGACCCCTCCGCGCCCTCCAGGATGCTAAACACATTCGTCGTCTTCCTCGTCCGACAGCCCACATTCTCGACGCCCCACGCCGACATCCTCCCCCGCGCATCCACCGCCAGCACAATCTCAGGCCCGCGCCTGGCCACCTCAATGAGCCTCTGCAGCACCTCCATGTCCTTCTCCGCCTCTCCCGCGCTCGCCACCGCCGCCTCCGCCGCCACCGCAACACACCCGCTATCCAGCACCAGCACGAAGCGCGCCGCGGCCCCCGCGGCCCCGCACGTCAGGTCCACCACGGCCCACAGCTGCAGCACGCCCACGTCGTGCGGCCACACGGGCGCCCACACGCGCAGCACCCCGTCCACGCCCACCGTGTACAGCACGTTCTCGTCGGCGCCGCCGCCGCCGCGCGCGCAGCGGCGCCAGTGCAGCGCGCTGACGGCGCGCGGGTGCGGGAGGTAGGTGTAGTCGAACTGCAGGGACTCGCTGCCGATGCTGACGCGGCGCCAGACCTTGACGAGGCGGTCGGCGGGGCCGATGGAGGCGGCGAGGGTGCCGTCGGGGGAGAGGGCGGCGGCGCGGCAGGGGTTGGCGAGCGGGCGGCGCCAGAGGGGGTGGGGGGTCGGGGTGGTGGAGGCGGTGGACCAGAGGGTGAGGGAGGAGGAGCCGATGAGGAGCTCGGCGGTGGGTGACCAGGAGAGGGAGGTGATGGCGCCGTCGGCGGGGGGAAGGGTTATCGTGGTGTGGAGCACCCAGGTGAGGAAGCCTTCGCCGCGGTTGTCGGGGTGGTAGATGTGGGCGGTGTTGGCGGAGGAGACGGCGATGGCGCCGGTGGTGGCGTCGAGGGTCACGGCGGTGAGGGGGGCGTCGTGGTAGAGTGTTTGCAGGAGCGTGGTGGGCGAGGAGAGGACTATTAGGGCGGTGCCGGAGATGTAGGCCTGCACGGGGTGTGTGGTTAGTAGGGCAGAGGGAGGTGGAGGGGGGAGCTTCGTGGGGAGGGTGATGGGGGAGAGCTCACGATTAGGCGGTTTCGCTCCCATTCGGCGGTGGTGACGGCGTGGGGGGTTGAGTTGGGCCGGCCGGGTTGGAGCATTGCGTGTGTTGTGTGAGAAGAGGAGGGGAAAGGGGGGACGAGGAGAGAGAAGAAGAGGAGAGAGAGAGAGAGGAGAGAGAGAGAGGAGAGAGGGGAAGGAGTGGATGGAGATGGCAGAATAGAATATAGAATATAGAATAGCTGAGAGGTGAGTGAGTGAGTGATGCACGATGCACGATGAACGATGAACGATGAACGGGTTGGTTGTGTCTGTCTGTGGTGATGCGAACAAATGCCGCATGACGACGCTGCTGCAGCTCGACAGCTACTCGACTGCATCTCTGCTTTACACACACACTCCCGGCTCCACACAGAACACAACACAGCCACCATGGGGCTATCCCCTACTCTTCTCCAACCCTCTCACTCTTCCACAGCAGAGATCCCACTCCCACCTCCACTGCCCGAGCCATCAACAGCAACAGCCCCCCAGCAGTTGCCCCCCGCGGGCCAGCTAACAGACGCGGCAACAGACAGCACCCGGAGAAACCTTATTCCGTGCCACAGCCGCTCACTCGCACAGCACGTGAAATCACTCGAGGGCATCCATCGCTCGAACCCCCCCCGCCCGCCCCGCTCACTAACCTCGGTGATAGACACACATTTCAATTTTAACCCCGCTACAAATAGATACTTATAAGACCCCGCTGTGATATAAACCCACCCCCCCCGCTTTCCCCGCACAATACATGTATGATGGTATCCAAAAAATACATACTGAAACCAGAAATCCAAAAACCGGTGGGTAATAGATATAGAGATAAGGAGATAGGCGACAAAAGAGAAAAGGGAGGAGAAGGATAACATTTGGAACAAAACTAGAAATAAAAAAAAAAGAGCAAAGTAATTCCTATCCCCCATACAAAAAAAAAAAAAAAAAAAAAAAACTCCATTCACCCGCTTACAAACAAAAGAAACAAAAAGAAACAACAAAAAACACCAAAAGAAAGAGCAAAAATTCATCGTGAAGATTACACACAAAAAGCGGAAAGGTTGCCTCTGCTGCCATTAACCACCACTACTCCTACTGAGACTCCTCACTCATCGCCGGCATCCCCGAAAACCCCCTAGACCTACTAAACCTCAGCAACGGGCTCCCGGGCGTCTCCCCCACCCCCCCGCCCCTCCTCGGCGTCACCAGCAGCCCCCCCAACCCGCGCTTCGGCGTCTCCAACGGCGTCACAAGCCGCCCCCACCGACTCCCCCTCCACCCCGGCGTCGCCGCCGGCGTCGTCGTCGTCGTCCCCCTACTACCCGTAAGACTCCGTCCCAGCACACTCCGTCCTAGCACACTCCTCCCCAGCTGCCCCTGCCCCCCCCTCACCACACTCCCGCCAAAGATACTCCGCCCCAGATCCACCCCCTGCACCTGCGGGGGGAGCGGCGGCACCCACTGCGCACCAAACGCGTCGTCCAGCGTATCATCCAGCCCCCCCCCTCCCCCTTCCTCCTCCTCCTCCTCCTCCTCCTCCTCCTCCTGCCGCTGCTGTCTCATGTAAACACGGTCCAGCGCAGCGTTCTTCCACGCGCGGAACAATCCCTTGAGACGCTTCCTCTGGAAGCGGCCGCCGTTGAGCGCCAGCAGCTTGACACGGAACGCCGCGGCCGTCCACTTCTCGAGATACTTTGCCGCGAGGGCCTCGTCGCGGCGGGCCAGGAGCGCGAGCGCCGTGTCGTGCAGCGCGGCCAGGTGCTGCAGCTTGGCCGCCCAGAGGGCCAGCGTGTGGGCGAGGAGGTTTGTGTCGTGGTGGTTGGCGGCGGTGGCGTGGAGGCGCGTGATGTGCGCCGTGCGGTCGCGCCAGTGCACGAGGGCGCTGGCGGCACCGTCGGACGTGTGCTCGAGCGCGAAGGAGGCGGCCGCGGTGTGCAGCGTGCGCAGGTGGGCGGTGCGCGACAGCCAGAGGTCGAGGGCGGCGGAGGCGAGCGTGCGCTTCGTGCGGCGGGAGACGGCGTGGAATGCGGCGCGCAGCCGGTCCCGCCGGGAGGCTTTGAAGGCGCGTTTCCAGGTGCGCAGGGCGCGGCGCGCGGTGAAGTAGTAGACGGCGTCGTCGGCCCAGTCGTTGTACATGCGGACCAGGTCGGCCTTCAACCGCCAGCGCACGAGTGCTGCGCTGAGGAGACTGCTTGCGTGGAAGGCGGCGGCGTCGGCCTCCATCTGCCGCCGGAAGGCGAGGCGCTCTTTCATAAACTCGAGGACCTCGCGGGCCAGGCGTGCGTTGCCAGCGATGACGACCTGTGTGCCGGCTCTGGTGAGGCGGTTGGAGAGCGTGCGGTGGTGGGTTTGCCAGTGGGTCAGCGCGCGGCGGGCGAGGTTGGTGTTGCGCCATGTGGTGAACTGGCGGTAGCGGGTGTGGAGGATCCATGTTTTGAGGGTGCGGCTTTCGAGGGCGTCGAGGGTTTTGTCGGTGAGGATTTTGCTGCGGAGATGGAGGCGCCAGTTGCGCAGGGTTTTGGCAAGGAGCGTTGTGCGGGCGTGGGCGGCGGCGGCGAGAGACTGCTGCGTGCGGTGCCGCCAGAGCGTGAGGTGGTCGCGGGCGATGCGGGTGTCGACGAGGGCGGTCATGGTGGCGGTGAGGGGCGCGAACTTGGCCTGCCGCCGCCAGGAGTCGAAGGCCTTCTCGGTCAGCTTCCACTCGCAGTGGTCGGCGGCGATGTCGGCGGCGTCGAGACAGTGCAGCGTCTTCTCGGACCACTGGTTGAACACCGTCTGCAGCGTGTGGCGCCGGTAGAAGGCGCTGGCCATGCGGTTCATCTGGATGACCCTCTCCGTCTTCTCCACCCAGACATCAAAGCACTGCTCCGCGATCGTCTTATTGTACCTGCGCATGCCCAGTATGCCGCACAGCTGGAAGAACCACGTCCAGTAGGCCCGGTGCACGAGGTTCTCCTGGTAGACGCGCTGGGCCACCAGCGCCATCTGCCGCCGCTTCTTGGTTGCGGCGCGCCATTTATAGAGAGCGTTCGACAGCTGGAACAGCCGCACCTTCTCCTCGTTCTCAATGACCAGCGCGCGCCAGGCGTTGAAGTACTTGCGCACGAGGATGCGCTGCCGCACCTCCTGCGTCCGCTGCACGATTGTTGCCGTCTTCTGGATCCAGACGCTCCATGCCTTGGCCATCAGGCGGGTGTTGTACCGGCGCTCGGCGCGCTGCTCGACCACCGCGAACCATTTTTGCTCCTGCAGCATGTTAGAAAAGTCTCGCGCAACAAGGAGTGCTCAATCGCATTGGGTAAACCCACCACTCTCTTCACCGTCTCTGCATGCCAATGCCTAAAAAAATCCCTCATCACCCCCTTCATCCTCAGCGCATACAGCCCATCCGCCGCATCCTCCGGGACCCTCGGCCTCCTCACCTCCTCCACCTCCTCGTCATCGGCCCCCCTCCCTCCCAGCTCCTCCTCCTCCTCCTCCTCCTCCTCCTCATCCTCATCCGCCGTCGTAACCCCCATCAGCGACCTCGACCGCCTCCTGCCCCTGCCCCTGCCCCTGCGCGCACTAACCTCCTCGCGCCGGGTGCGCGCCGCAAGCTCAGCGGCTACGATAGCCTCGTGCGTCGGCGAGCTGGCCAACCCATTAAACGACCTTCGCGAACGGCATGGGGCGCGGTAGTCGTCCGACGAGACGTCGGTGGTGGTGCCGTGGCTGGAGCGGTCGCGCCGGCGCCGCGCAGTGTCGTAGCGCTGCCGGGTAAACTCTGCAGTCGCCGCCGCCGACGGCGTTTCCAGGAAGCGGCCGTCGATGCCCTGCCTCTGCGGGGGTGTTAGCTAGGTGGGGGAGGAGGGGGGGAGAGGGGAGGGGGCTAACAGAGAGAAGGTCCATAAAACGTTCATAGATGTTCTTTCCCGGGACGGACTGCAGCTGCAGGATGAAGCGGAAGTAGACGCTGTCGAACGCGGGGTTGATCTTTCGTGCGGCGAGGACCACATCGTAGGCTCTGTAGACGGCGCGGAACGAGTTCTTGCCCGGGAAGACGGTCGCGAGGGAGATGATTTCATGGAGGATCTGGAGGTCTGCGTGTTGTGGCCATGGTGGATAAATTTAGTGGTTTGGTCTTTGTATTGTGTGAATTGTGAATGAATGAATGAAGGGATGAAGGGATGGAGGAAAGAAGAGACAAAAGAAATGGATGGACTCTTTGTGAAAATGAAAAAAAAAAAAAAAAAAAACAAGGCTGAGATTTTTATATACCTGCGGGGCTGTAGTGATATCTCGGATGTGATGCGCCGATATCGTCGCCTTGTTGTGGGGGTTGCATGGACGACCACTCAGCAGCAACACTTGCATGAGGCCCGGGCTTCGATATAATGCGGTTGTGTGTGTGTGTGTATGATGATGTAGGTAAGTATGTACGGGGTTTGAATGTGGGTATTACAATCGACTAGTAGCAGTAGTGTATCATGCACGGCGCTGAGAACAATGGCAATTACCTATGGGAGGTGACATGCCCATGATACGCTTAGTGGGTTGCCTTCTTCTCTCTCTCTCTCTCTCTCTCGGCGGTGATGTGGTGGTGTGGGTGTGGGTGTGAGGTGTGGGTGTGTGGATGGGTGTTTGCTCTGCCTATCGCGAACAGGGATCGGTTTCGTGTTCTTTGTTGTTGTCATCCGCTCGCTCGCTGGATGTCTGTCTGTTGCTGTTGCTTGGTTACCAACCGCACTAGCCCTAACGCGCCCTAATTGGTGCCGGTGGGTTAGGGCTCGAGCTCGTCGAAGGGAGGAATGCACACGGCCTTTGTGGCATTCCGGGCAGCTCATGCGGTGGTGAGGGCTGTGCTGGGTGTGTGCTAATGATCGATTTTGCCTATACCGCTTTTTTGCGTACAATCTGGGGGGTTGGCATGGCCGAGTGACTGCACATGAAGCAAGTTTGCATTTTCTTCTGATGGAAGTGTTAACCTCAATGCTCGGCTGGTTCGTTATGAGGGAATCACATAGGATTGACTGGCTATATTCTCTAGAGCTCCCATGTCCTGATAACAACATTCCTGAGAATGGGGTGTTGGTTTCACAAAGCCTTCCTGTACTCGCAGTGCCATTATCCATCCCCCCCCATCCCAAGTTGTACTTTTCCTTCTCCCCAAGAATATGACCAGGTCTGTCTTCCTGAGCAGAACCCAGAGCTGAGCTGTTAGTAAAATTTAAGCAGTTCCTACTAGCGGGGCACTGCGCCTACCGTGACCAGAACTGCCAGCACCTGTATGTAGTATTGATAACAAGTATCCAAACATCCTCACATCCTCATCCCACTTAGTACACCCAACCAGCCAACCCATCCTGTCATCTTCCCACCGCCCAACAGGCCACGATAACCAGTGCACCATTCCCCCGTGGCACCTCCCAATGCCACCAAAAGACACCATCGTCACCCCGAAAGAAACACTCATCAACTGGCTCGCCGTGCTCGCCATCCTCTTCATCGGCGTCCCCCTCTTCATCCTCCCCGTGACCGTCCTCCTCCTGCTCCTCTTCATCACGCCGCTCATCGTATACCTCGTGATCAACTGTGTCAAAGAGCTTGCGTTCCCTCCGAGAGTCCTAGTGCTGCTGTTGTACTAGCTAGCCACATACCGTGCTTGCTCGAAACACTTATTCTTATTCTTACCACCACTAATATGCCACCAACTAATTACCTCAATGGGAGGACCAAGCCCAGCAACGAAACGACAAAGCTCCTCAACGCTACCAGGATCCAGAAAAAGTGGAAGGGCAAGGCCCGTGCAAGGGATCTGGAGGCCCAGACACCGATTGAGCAGCTTGACGGGCCGTCGAACAGCCGTCAGAAGGCGGAGAAAAAAGATAAAGCCGCTGCAGCAGAATCCGGAAAAGTGTCACCAGCTAGCTCAGAGTCGGGGCCGTCAGAAGTATTGCCGAGGGAGAGCCCCATCAGGTATTTGATTTATTTATGCTCCTTAATTGCGTCTTTGGTGTAGGGTGGAAGTGGTCTGAAACGTGGTGCGTGCGTGTCTTGGATTAGGTATTACCAAAACTCCATCGTGGACGACTGGCCGACCAGCTGCACGATGGTTACGGCGGTTCTGACTGTTGGTGCGGTGACGCTGCTGCTCATTGTCTTCTTTGGCAGTATGTACCCCCCCCCCCCCCCCCCCCCTTTCCCATTGAAATCGTCGTGAGGTTGCTAACCATGGCCACTGGAGTATCAGATCTCGAAATAAGGCGTCCAAACAGCTAGCTCTACTCGGATTTGTTAGCGGCGTTAAAAAGAAAAGGGAAGAAGTATTAAAGGAAGAAGTATTATTACTCTGGGTAAAAGTTTTACCACAAAAAAGCGGACATGACATTGATGTGTGATTGGGTACTAGGCGGGTAAGGAAAGGAGGAAACAACGACTGTATATATGCCTTGAGAAGAGATGGCTTCATGAGAAATGATAGGAGTTGAAGGTCGTCAAAGTGCTCTTCTTATTTGGAATACTCGTGCTGCACGAAGGTCATTCATGAATGACCTAACTGAGACATATTGCGCATTCACCTCTCTACTTGGCATCACAGGGTTTTCAAAGTCGTTTTTGGGAGATTGTGGTGACTGCTACGAAGGAGGGGAAGCTACGTAGCACTTATTCTACTCTCTGTTGTAGCTAAGATATTGGCGTTGCACTTACTCGGTGTTGCACTTACTCGCTGTTATAGCTAGGCCGTTGTTATTAACCCTTCGTTGCTGCCTGCTGGTACAGCAGATGTTACATAGAGATTCACTGTCTTGGCCTCAAGAGGAAAAGAGGAGATCTGAAAACCGGGAGATCACACGTTGGAACAGGAACGGTACGACTGTTAGTTGGAAGGGAATAATTGTATTTGACAGAAATGATCATGAACTGATAATGATAGCACGGCAAACGACGACAGATAAACCACGGTATAAGAGATACTTCTTTCGGCTCTAGAAATTTTTTCTCACAAGACTATTTAAGACGAGACGTTATCTCATATCTTAGAGAATAGGGACTATAGACTAATCTCGTCTTGTGCAATTGTTTCGCTATTTCAAGACATGCTTGCGAGAGTCGAGTGAGTGACTGTGAGCCAAGCCCTCCAAAAGAATCGAAGCATTTAAGTGTTTCAGTGTTTTGCTACTGGTGTTTAGGATGCTAGTATACCGAAACGACCAGGTCTCAAACTATTCGCAGACATTTCACCATACGTACACATATATAGAACGCTAGTATTGTGCAGATTTTGCAAGAAGAAAGGGGAGGGTTGGGGGGGGGAGCGAGAAAGAGCATATCGATCGCCAGGTGCCTTGTCTTCAACAGGTTCATTAGAACACCACACCGCCGAGCACAAGAGTCAACAAAACCGGGCTCGCCCTCGGGCCTCGGCTTGAGCTCAGAGCCTAATAATAGCCAATAGGGGACAAACAAATTTATAATCTCTCAGCCGTGCGAGTGACACATCGTGACTCATGATCTAAAGACAGCCAAGCCGGAGATGCTAGATGCTACCTAGAAAAACTAAGCCCCATACCGCAGCGCAGGGCAAGTTTTCCCAAGATGTTCGTTCCATGGCGCCAGCTGCAGCGCAGCTAAGATATCACAACTAGGATAAGACAAAAAAATATATAAAAAATAAAAAAATCCAAACTAAGCAGCAAACTCCAACCAGCCAACCCACCAACCAACCAACCAACCAGTCCATGTTCATACCATTTGTCTTCATAAATAAATACGTTGAGTCTATTTATTAGTACATAAGTGTAACCAGAAAAAAAACTCCCGAATAAACTTCCTTCTCTACGCCTTCCTCTTCCTCGCCGCCGGCTTCTCGATCCCAGACGCAACCTTGAGGTCATGACTCTCAATGTTCACCTCCTTGACCGCCTTCTTGTCCCCGGTAAATCGGCTGGCGACGGTCTGGATCATCCTGGTGAACCAAAAGTAGTTCAACAAGTTCAAGATGCTGTTCGATGTCAAGTACACCACAGCCAACCAGAACGGCACACCGAGTCCTTCAAACACATGTGGGATCGCTTCATCGGCGCCCTTTGCCGCAGCGGTTAAAACTGAAGGTGGGTTAAAGTGGGTGCTCCACACGTCCTTCATGACCAGGAAACTGGACCAGGTACCGTAGCATATACGGCAGCCAAAGAATGTACCGATCAGGAGGAATCCGTTGTATAATTGGACCTTGGAGCCCGTAAGTCCGACCTTATCGCAGAACCAGTGAATGTTGAGGAAAGGACTGGAGAGCTCGAAGAGGACAAAGACAGGCGCATAGAAGTTTACAAATGGACGCTATTGAAACTTGATTAGCCGAGTAACAACCTTTTGACTCACAGCTTTTTGACGGGGCTCCGAGGAATGTACATGGACACGCGCTGGTGGGATAGACTCACAAATCCGAGACTGTATACTGCAACAGCGCTCGCGGCGTGTGCCAGAAATCCTGGGCCAAAGATGCTCAGGTAGTAGCCACTCATGAACAGATCCCACAAAAAGTAGCCCGCAGCATAACCCGTGACGGCGCCGCACATGGGGGTTTCCCCGAATACCCTCCCAAGCATGGCATCCGTGTTCCCTTGCTCTCTCCATGCGGCGCGCTCCTCATCGTTGAAAATGACCCAGATTGCAAAGATGCTGATGAAGGTACTCTGGATGAACGACACCACGTGGACGTCCCAGTTGACCTTCGTGCGCTTGTTGAAATTCGGGTATATGTTTGGCAGGAGAAGGCGCGAGAAAAAGGGCGAGACGAACAGAAATATCGAATGATACGTACAAAAGGCCAAGAGGATATAATGGATATGGGCCGGGAGGGTAGGGAGATTAAGGGCCTTGGAGAATGACTGAACGAAGGAGAGCGAGGAGAGCCACTCAGGGCAAGGAAACACGAAGACGTCCATCTTTGCGCTGGGTTGAAAATGACGCCAGATGGAGAAAGCTGGAGAAGAGAAGGATAAGGGGACAGAGGAGAGTTGCCGTCGCTGAATGCGCTGGGGGGGGGGGGGTAGAAATGCTTAGAAATGCTCGGGTTGAGATCTAGTAGCGATCTGGGTTACTGACGGCCGGGAGGCTGGGCAAGATCTCTGGAGTTTAGGGCGTAGATTGTTTGAGCCTCACTACATGTACTAGTAAGTACTCAACACATACATGTATATAGAATCTGTTGGTCGACACCGCAAGAACGAGGACGGTTTTAAGAGCGGTCGACGCTGTAATCGACCACTCTGTCTTCTTTTATGTTGTTCCGAACTCTCGCTAGAATAAGTGATCGAAGGGGAACACGATGAAGGGTGGTCATTGGACAGATAGACAGATATTTGACAGACGGACAATGACTGAGCTGTCTCAAAACATTCAGCTTCAACTCTAGCTTCCCCGGTCATGTCCCTGCAGAATGCCGGTCATCCGCCAAGTTGTTGGGGCTGACCTGCAGGGTCATGGGTCAACCACCATCAGGAGGAACATGTAGAGTCCTTTCTGGATCAATGGCGAACCTGGATCGATGGTGGATGTCCCAATAAAAACCAGAAGGAGAATCATAACTTAAATTTACATGTAGAGATAGAAATAACGAGATAAGATAAAGAAAACAAATCTCTGTAAACAAAGTGTCTAGCTGTTTTGCACGAAGTAAGCAAAACAGAAATGCACAGATGAGTAATTCCGTGCGGGTGAGACAGCTTGCACAATTCACCCTGGTTAGTCATTCGCCATTGACCTAAAAAATACTTCTGTTATTGCTTAGATAATCACAAGCTTTCCCACGTGATAAGGCCTTCATCATGCTTTATCACTCGCTAAATTCGCACACTCACCCGGGAGCTTGCCTTTCCAAACTTCTTCCTGCAACCAAACATCAATGAATTTCTTCCGTCACGAAGATATCCACCCCATCATCATCGCACTTTTTTCCTTGACCGTCATCTACCTCATTTTGATATTCATCTAAACTCCTAACCATAAATTCCAACAATGTCTCGTGACATCCACGGCGCTTCCAGGCCCCAAGATATCGAACTCAATTATGACGACGACGACGACGATGAGGGCCTGGTTTTCTCTTTGAACGACGGAGACCCAGCCAACAACCCATCAGGAAACAATTCTCTAGAAGACGATGGCGAGCACGATGTTGTCCTTAAACTCTCTGATTTACAAGGGGATCCGAGTAGCCCTTTGTATTCGGCAAAGACCTTTGAGCAACTAGGACTGTATGCTCATTCCTCTGCCTCAATCACTTGCTTCCGTTTGGCTAACTTTCTAGATCTGATGAAATCATGCGCGGGATTCACGACATGGGGTTCCGGCGTCCCTCAAAGATCCAAGAAATGGCGCTACCCCTTCTTCTTGCTAACCCCCCTTATAACATGATTGCCCAGTCGCAGTCTGGTACAGGAAAGACGGCAGCATTCATGCTCAATATTCTCTCTCGTGTTGATGTCGGACTCCAAAAACCACAGGCTCTCGTTCTTGCGCCAACCCGTGAACTCGCTCGCCAAATCGGGGATGTCCTTAAAAAGATGGGACGGTACACCAATGTAAAAGGCCAGTTCGCAATTCCAAACATGGTGGACAAGGGTCAAATGATGAATGCACATGTTATCATCGGCACTCCAGGCACTGCAATTGATTGCATCCGGCGCAGGATTCTTCCGGTTCAAGACATCAAGATGTTCGTCGTAGATGAAGCGGACAATATGTTGGATCAGCAAAACATGGCTGATCAGTGCATCAGGGTCAAAATGTGAGACATTCTATCATCCTTTTCTTTTCTCCAGCTAACACCATCAGGGCTATGCCTGCGGGGGTACAGATCGTCCTCTGGTCCGCCACTTTTCCAACATCTGTAGTATCTTACGCCGAACACTTCGCTCCAAATGCGAATACTCTTTCATTGAAGCATGCCGAACTCACCGTCGTTGGTATCAAACAGATGTACATGGACTGTGCCAACGAAGCAGACAAGTACCGTGTCCTAACAGATCTTTACAAAGTTCTCACCATTGGTTCCTCCGTCATTTTCGTTAAGGCAAGTTTTCATTTTCTCTTCTCTTTGCATCTAGCTAACCTCGAGATAGCGCCGCGTTGATGCAGACAAGATCTACAAGCGTATGACCGATGCTGGTCATAAAGTTGCTGTGTTGCACTCAGGACTCGAAAATTCAAGCTGCAGAGACAGCGTGATCGACGACTTTCGTTCGGGAAAGGCGAAGGTTTTGATCACCACCAATGTCCTTGCGCGCGGAATTGACGTTGCGACTGTGTCTATGGTTGTGAATTACGATTTGCCAACTATGGTGACCAACAGTGGTATGGTGATTGTAGATACCCCCACATACCTCCACCGCATCGGGAGGACCGGAAGGTTTGGCAGAGTGGGTGTTAGCATCTCGTTCGTCCACAATCAAAGCACCTGGCGAGAGTTGTGTGAAGTTGCGGATTACTTCAATGTGCCAATGCAGAAAGTCCCCGCGGATGACATTGACGTGAGCCACCCCTACACACATAAAGGATGAACCAAAGATTATTGACAGAAATTGCTGTTCATTTTAGGAGGTTGAACGCATCGTGAACAAGTTCCTTAAGTCTGGTCCGCCAAAGAAGGGAGACATCATGGAGCATAGCCGCCACGAGGTTTCCAGGCCTCCTCAGCGCCCATCGCGGAGGTAAATGTTGGGTGAGGAAATCATGAGGGTAGAAGGCTATTGGGTGATGGAAAAGTCTACAATGCTAAGAATACCAGGGAAAATTAGGTTTGAAGGGATCACCACGATTAAGAATTCTTTCAGAAATAATAAGTAAAGATCAAACGTCTACTTTATAGGCTGTCCTACTTGCAAGTGCGCATAAAGATAACCATAATTTGTGACTGGGTTCGTACGCAAGTGAGATTCTTTGAAGCCACCAAAATAACCTCATGATTCTGGTATTTTGGAGTGGGAGAACCATCTTGATGCCACGGAGGTTAGCACTCTAGGCATTGATAAGAAATAGTATGGTGTTTACTCTTCCGATAAGGCGGGCTCTAAGCCAGGAGTTCAAGTTTTTACAAAACATCTGAGCGCGAATTTCAGCCGAGATTTTCTGAAGGATTCGGTGGCATCCCTCGTAGAAGTGAGAACTTTGGCCCATTGTACATTGCGGGAGGAAACCTTTTCGTTAGTGGTGCAATAAAGATAATTTTTGTTATCTTGGTGTTGCCTATTGTTGAGAAGATTCATGAAGTAAATATCGAGTGATATCATATGACTGGTTAACGTGGGGAAGATCTCATCGGTAAATATAAACGTAAGGCCGAAATAGGTATTTTGAGCAAACGGTCTGCGAGAAGGATCGGGGTCCAAATATAAATTACCTTGAGTTTAACAAATAGTTTAGTTATATGTAGTGACTTCAATGTTAGCTTCTCTGCTTATTGTAGACTTTGTGACTTGCTTAAGGGTCGTTGTACTCCTCCTCTTACGGTTGCTACTCATCATCATTACCACTCACTTAGTGTTATTCAACACCTACACTAGCTGTACTCTCCACTTGTTGTTCCCCGTTGCCATCCTTGCCCCCTTCTTCCTCATCACCCTCATCTCAATCAGCATCAGGAACTGGCCTACATATCGATCTTTCGTCTAGTTCGATTAGCTTTCTCATCACCTTTGAATCATCATACCTCTCAGAAATTCGTTCCAATTAGATTCCTTAAGGCACGGATATTATTACAGCTAATTTTACCTTCCTACCTACCAAAAAAGAGACAGGAAAAATGGTACCCTTATAAAGGGATTACCGGTACCCTTATATGCAGTGCCCTTATAGCAAGCTTTCACTGCAGAATGTAAATACGACCAAGCAAAATGGTCATGTCAAAAAAACAAATCCGGCAGCAAAAACTCGAGCAGTTTGGTTTATTACCGGTGAACCCCTCCTCGCCCGACCTGGGATTTGAGCCCAGGCCGTCTCCTGCGACAGCAGCTATAAAGATTGTATCGATTGTGCTAAGCCGAACCCCGCATGCCAGTACCGATCCCATCGAAGAGGGGCTCGACCTTGACCAATCTAATCTAATAATTATCGTTAGTGAACCACACCACTGGAATAGCTCCCGGAGGTCGCTACATCATGAGAATGACGCTAAGATTGTGCTTTTGATAAAGAGGATAAAATTATAGAGGGAAAGTAATTGGGAATGATAGCCGGATGGTGATCAGTTCGGAGATCGAGAAAAGTGCAGTATTATGAGGCTGTTGGTGGTCGTGAGCCCGTCTACCTAAATCATGATCCTTGGGGGCCTATTGACGGACAGTTTTCTTTGGTGGAGGTGCTTCCTGCTGTCGTTAGTTTTTGTGGAAGATTACATTCCGAACTCCGAGTCTCGGAGCCTCGGAGCTGGCTACATCTTAGGATGTAGTAAACTACGCACGGTGGTCAATGTGCGGATCAAGTCATGATCCGGTCCGGGTGAGTTTTCTGATTGGCCAACTGGGTAAAGTCGATTTGATCTTTTGGACTCACAAAAAGCTGGATGGAAAAGTGAGATCAAGATTATGTTTCAGAGCTTACCTTAAGCTCGATCTATGGACTAACTCCACTAGACCCTGTGTATGAATCGCCCCAACCGTTGCAGAGCATCTGAAGTGCACTTCAAAAAACCAAAGCTACCATTGGCTAGGCAAAACATTTGATCTGATGCTAATTCGCACTTGATCTAATGCTGAGCACAAGATAGCCTCAGACTTAGCCCTCCATGCTGCGGTAAGTGTAGTTTGTTGTGCACCTTGGATACATGTGAGCCCGCATTCGATTCGCCCTGAAGGCAAATATCAACGTGCCAATGCTTGGACGCATATCCTTTCAGCCACAATTATACCTCAATTAGATGGTATATTAATATGTCAACGTCAGCTAA